GATCAGAGGTAACCCTTGCTAAAACCGCCTGAACGACATCCGGGAATTTCTCTTCCCATTCTCCAGAAATCAAAAATCGATCCAGTCTTGAAAGAGTGACTGGATTCCTGCCATTTGACCAGGTATAGGATGCACCTTCCATTGGTAAATCAATGAGAAGATGCTCGTCAATAAAGTCAGAAAACTGATCCATTTCTGAAGACCTCCTTGCCCCTATAGACCTCTTTACCAGGGATCTGACAAAGTTAAAATCCCCACCCAGACAGCGGTGGAGAGACCACAATTCTTGAACATGGCAAAGCTCCTCCCAGAAAATAGGTCGATCATCATCGACAACCGGTCCATAGACCCCAAAAAAAGACCCATCTAAAGTTATCCTCTTCCATCTTAAACTCGCAGGACATAGAATCTTCCCCTCCACACGTCCATTCTAGACAACCATATGTTATCCCACATAACTAAGATTCCGCCCGAAGTACCTATAGCATTCAAGGCCTCCCATTCCACAAACCTTCCTCCCCACAAACTCCTAACCACCCCATCAAAAATGGAAGCCAACTTGGTTTCTTGCAGACAAACAACTTGGGCCCCCACTTCCTTAAAGCCACCTTTACCACCCTCCTCTTGTTCGAGTCATTAAGACCTTGGACATTCCAAGTAATAATTTGTAGCTTCATTAAAAACCAGATAAAGTTATCTCCCCCCGTCCCTTCCTTATACTCTTACTTCTAGTCCTTCCCCTCTCCTTCACCACCCCTCTCTTCCCTTCATAATTAATGTAAGAGATGAGATTTTTGACCTCCTGTGCCCCTTTCCAGGACAATAAAGGCCTGGTGTTCATAACCTCATTAGTCACTGCCACCTCTCTTCCTTCCACAATTGCTCGAAGAATGGATAATGTCTGGTCATTATTTCCCTTTCATTAAAAACCAGATAAAGTTATCTCCTCCCGTCCCTTCCTTATACTCTTACTTCTAGTCCTTCCCCTCTCCTTCACCACCCCTCTCTTCCCTTCATAATTAATGCAAGAGAAAAGATTTTTGACCTCCTGTGCCCCTTTCCAGGACAATAAAGGCCTGGTGTTCATAACCTCATTAGTCACTGCCACCTCTCTTCCTTCCACAATTGCTCGAAGAATGGATAATGTCTGGTCATTATTTCCCTTTGATGAGATACCCAACAACTCACTGGTGACTCCTATGTTTTCGACAACCCAATCCTTTCCATATTGGCCATTATTCCGGAAGAGCCAGGTCGCATAACAGCCAATGGTTCCACATCTGAACAATCATTCTCAAACCAAGGGGCGAGCTCTTTAGAACGAACCTGTTGGATTGAACTCAAATCATCAATCACCTCATCTTCAATACATCGAGTCCGAATCTGTACCCTAGTCACCCATTCCATTATGCGTGAAACTAACAGACTCGTTCACCTCAACCCCTGCAAAAGGCAAGCAGTTAAAGCCTTTCAAGGCTACGCGCAGACGTAGCTCTTTGAGTAAAGCTGAAGCCTCATCACTGGATAACTGAAAATGGAGATCACTTCCCACACAGACCATGACCCCCTCAGGCTTGTCCTTAACTGCACAGTCCGCTAGATCAACATGCCCTGAAATAACAGACCCGTAGGTAGTCTTCCCTTCTATATTCGAGCAAACTCAGCTTCAGGTATCGAAGGCATAACTGAAAACTCACTGCACTTCTCTGTTGCCAACTAAACCTCACTCCTCAACACCCCAAAAAAAGGAATAGAAGAAGAAGAGGGAGTGTAGGGAGGGCTCCTGAGATGAATGGCTGAAGACATACCTGAATCAGTGCGTACCCACTTTTGTTTATCATTACGAGACCACCTGTGACTGTGGCATCCCTGATGAGAGACCTTAGTTGAACTAAAACTTCTTTCGTGTGGTAGAACAGAACCTGAAGGAGGAAACGCTGCAGGAAAACAACACGTATTGTGTCGAAAAGTCCTCTCATCCGCATTCAACCCATTAGTGCTTAACTACATCCACCTTCTCTTCTCCGTCGAAGACCACTCTCTGCTGTGACGACGACGCTGTGGAATTAAGTCTGAAGAAGCAGCTTGACTGGGCTTAGAAAAATGCTTTAGGCTGGGCATGTCATTTAAAAAAGAGACGGATAAATGGTCACTGGCCCCCAAGAAACAATCCTCTTAAGCCCCTTAGAATTCTGTTGCCCATTATATGTTAACCCATTTTCCGGCCCATTCTCCAAAGACAGACCAAAATTCAAATCAGGCCCAAACTTAGGCCCATCAGAGACTTTGGCTGGAAAGGCTCCTGTTGTGCCACATGTCCTTCTACATGGTTGGTGGCTAGCTGGGCGACCAAACTGAAGAATTGATGGGCACTGTTTAGGGGCGTTATGCGCACCGCTCGGAAGTCTGCTTTCCCTAGTCGCGGCAGGCGCGTGAGAGAACACGTCTTTGTCCTTGAGAACTCAGGTGGATCTGCAACTTCCAGCGACGTGTACCTTTGGTTGTTTCGTCAGACATGAGATGGGAACCCTCATCTATTCCATAATAGGACTTCGGTAGAATACGAGGTGAGATTTCCTCCAACAAATTAACCTTAAAGGCCAAACGCTGGTCTTCAACAAATACGAACTCCGGTACCCTACCTCCGACAGATACGTAGAGGAGAACTCTCTCACCTCCCGCCTTATCATCCGCCTCCACACCTCTAAATCCACCACACAAATCACCTATGGCCTCGAACAATTTCTGACACCAAAGGTGAAGAGGCAAGCCGTGAATCGCCACCCTTCTGATTTCTCGATTTTTCACTGCCGAAAATCCCACTGCGAAGTACCAAATATCGATGGCTAATGTAGCGTCTCCCCATTTCTTCTTCCCTAAATCCAGAACCCGTAGAGCCTCAACCTCCGAAGGTAGCCTAAACAGCAATAGGCTGTCTGGTAGGGATGATACCTTCACCCCACTCGAAACCTTCCAAACCTTCGTTGCCCACGACTTTATCCCCTCTATACATCCCACTTCTCGATCAAAACGGCCAACCAAGCAAGATTTCAGATCAGTTTCTCGTTCCATAATGCTTTGATGATCAACCCTAAAAACCATATCCTTGCCGATTTTGCAACTTGTGATCTCGCCATGGAAATTGAGGCGTGGAAGTGTCGCTACATTAAGATATGATCATATCATAACACTGATCCTTGCCAACGAGCCCAAGGATCCAACACCAAAACAGGTAGAGGACTCAACAAACGCTGGAGTAAGAGACTCCGGCGACAGAAAGGGTTGAAAGGGTAGAGAGAGTAGAGAGAAAAGTCAACATAGTCAACTCAACATCCCTAAAGGTATCTCTTTGAACTCAATAAACTTCAGTGAACTCTGTTACGGACATGTGATTTGCATTAATTTCATGTATATGCATATGCAGGCATTGGTGGAGTTGGAGTGTCAAAAATGGCTAGAGAAAGGGTTAAACGTGAAGTACGAGATGAGGAACAACAGAAACGGGTACATAGTTAACTGTTCATCTCACAACTCTGATCCACCCAACCCTCAACAAGCCTACATGGTCTCTATTTATAAAGCGCCTAACCTAATTCCTTGTTGGACAAGGATTACAATTCCTTGGAGCCCAAGACTTCTCTAACAAGTAATTACCTAATGAAATACAACTCTAAAATTGAAACCTAATTATTCTAGAATTTGAGACATACATAACACAAAATTTTAGAGTTAATACGTGAAGTATTCCATTGAAAGGTTCATCTCTAGAATTTTAACTACTATGAATGGTATTCAACTATTTTAGCTCAATAGTCGTTGCTACCACTGAAGGATATGCAAGGTTTAAGGCTTCAAGCTCATAGGTAGCTTCTACCAACTAAGGTTGATGATATATTGATATGCATGCATGGTGGTAGTTTTTCTCCCTTGTATATGCTCCTTACAAGGAGTATTTATAGTCCCATTACAAAATATAGCCATTAGAGACATTTAGCACACGTTGGGACTGTTGAACTAGACGTTAGATTTTGAAATCTGTCGAAAGTAGTCGACTGACACTAAGAACAATGGACTGGCTTGGCTTCATGTCCTTGGAGTTTTCAACTCTTTGGATGGAACCAGTTGACTGGTCCTTTGGGATCAGTAGGTTAAAAATGAGTCGACTGACATAACCAATTTAAGCTTCAAACTAGGGATGCATCTAGAATGAAAAAATGGTGCTCATTAGAGCAGTCAATTGAAATGGCCTGTCATTAAGATGTTCTCCTTCTTTTAAGTTTAACATAGGCTCAATTCCATTCCATATTTACTTAGGACTATAAGGATTTATGCAATCTAGTCGAAGAAATGCAAAAACATAAATGAAGGAAACTTGTAAGGAGCTTTTTGGTGTGGATTGAGTATCTTGAGATATTTTACTCGTAAAAAGAATTTTTTTTTATTTTTTTTAAAGATATCATACACATAATAAGAAATAAAAAAGAGTGGTGCTAAAACCATCTGACAATTTGCTTATCCTCTCGATCTTTGAATTTATGCAAAAGTGTCTATGTGGACCTGATAACTGCAAAAGTGTCTATGTGGATCTGATAACAAAAAGTGGTGTGGCTCAATCCCATTATTTCGGGAAAAAATTCAAGATAATGTATTGAAAATCTTCCAATTGAGTTCAAACCATACTGTCATCTGCAGATTTTTTTGGGTGAGATGAGGATGTAGTCTGTTTTGTAATGAAAAATATACGAACTCCAGCCTTTATGATGAAATTTACTCACACTATGTCCAAATGACCTAAAACAACCAACCATATAAGACAATTACTTCGCAAGCATAGTTGCAGCTATTGACTTTTATTTGCAACTAGCATCCTGAAGTTTACACCACATATTTTCCATCCATAGGATACATCTCACTCAATAAGCATACTATCCACTTCACTGCATTTATTAATATTTGAGGTTAATGTATATCTGTTTTCGTGCATTTTCTTAAAAGTGCAGGTGGCGGGGTGTGGGCGGTTTATCCTGTTGTCTTTTCTATCAGTTTATCCTGTGGGATTTTTCACTGCATTATAACGACGATACTGTCTGTAACTACTGTTTCTGCATTTAGCCTTGCTGCATATCGCTGTGCTGGTGCACCACCTAGCATACTTTGGGGTAGCTACCCAGCAGTTGGAAAAGGTGGCCTTGAGAACTACACATTCTGTCAGCTCTGTTCAAAGCCAAAGTCACCTAGGACTCATCACTGCCGTTCATGTGGAATGTGTATATTGGACATGGATCATCATTGCCCATTTGTAAGTGTGTTTACTGTTCGCTTTTCTTTCTTTCTTTCTTTCTTCCTTCCTTTCTTTCTTTATGGGTGCAGTCTGGAGAAAAAGGTCTGGCCCTCAGAATGTTATATAGTGGTCTTCTTTTGTCCCCAAAACATGTTTTTACATCTAGAAATTTTGACTTACCAATAGAATTCAGAAATTTCAGATGCTCGAAAACCTTGTTGTCAATAACCATAATACACCAGGCTCTGGACTGAAGTTTGACTTTGACTTAAGTTTTTACTCCAGTCAGCCTAGATGTGGAAGTCATTCAGTAAAGTTCATGAAAGTTGTGGAGGTAAGCATCTCACCTCCCAATCATGTTCACTGTCATCTGCAAGCAAGATTCTTGTAAAACCAAAGAACCTTGACACGGGTGTGGTATTGACCAAAGCCGTCAAACTTGCAATATATAGCACACTTGGCCTGTTGGTGCCACCTGTTCCTTTTAAGCAACTTATCCGCATTGCAGACGAGGATCATGTGACCTATGTTACATAATTCGGATATGTGTGTTAGGTTTGGGCGTGTGTTTTGAGCGTTCGATATATTAAAATTTTCTAATCTTAAAAAGCATGAAAACAAACCTGAGTGTAATGTGGGGGAAGGGAAGACCAAAATTTACATGGTAGAGTTAGTAAGGAAATATATGATAATATGTGGTTTGACTAAGGCTATGGTCTTAGATACATTGGAATGGAAAAATAGGATTGATGTAACCGACTCTGTGTAGATGGAAAAAATGCTTTGTTGGGTCAAGGACAGGAAAATAATAAAAAATTCATATTATTTAGTATTCCTCTTTCATATACTGTTGTAAAGCATAAAACGGAAGCGAATGGATAAATAAAACAAGTAGAACACACAAATATTACGTGGTTCAGCCACTAGGGCCTACATCCACGGCACAAAGAGCCCAAAGGGCTACATCACTTTTATAATACTTTCTCAATTCATATACAATACAATGGTGGATTCTCCTTTATATAGGAGAATAAATTATGAGAATGGAAAGAATTAGAAAATAGGAAACAAGGAGGATTTTTCTCCACTAATTCCTCTAGTAACACCAAATCTTCAATAATAGGAAATAACTTCAATTACTGAAAGATTTTTCTCCACTGATTCCTCCATTAAATCTTCAATACTCCCCCTCAAGTTGAAGCATGAATGTCTAACTTGCCATTGAGATGACGAGTAACAAGTGTGAATGATGAAGAGAGAAGAGAGAAGATAAAGAACAATGCTACCGAACACACCGACAGCCCAAACAAGTCAACCAAAAACTGCCGAAGACACGACAAAGGCGAGGACAATGCTACCGAACACACCGGCAGCCCAAACAAGTAGATAAAAACTGTCGGAGACACGGCAAAGATGAAGACAATGCTACTGAACACACCGGCAGCCCAAACAAGTCAATAAAAACTACCGGAGACACGGCAAGGACGAAGAACATTACTGTCGAACAAATCGGCAGCCCAAACAAGTCACGAATAACATCGAGAAACCCTTAGCAACATTTCTAAGGGAATACCCCAAAATAGGGGTCCGAACCTAGGAAGAGAAATCAGGCTTGTAAAGCATAAAACGGAAGTGAAGGGATAAATAAAACAATTTGAATTACGTGGTTCAGCCAGTAAGGCCTTCATCCACAGCACAAAGAGCCCAAAGGGCTACATCACTTTTATAATACTCTCTCAATTCATAGACAATACAATGGTGATGAGAATGGAAAGAACTAGAAAATAGGAAACAAGGAGGATTTTCTCCACTGATTCCTCTAGTAACACCAAATTTTCAATAATAGGAAACAACATCAATTACTGAAAGATTTTTCTCCACTGATTCCTTCATTAAATCTTCAATATATACTATAAAATAATGTACTCCCTCTGTCCCAAAATAAATGTCTCTTCCAAAAGAGACATTTATTTTGGGACAAAGGGAGTATTTATTTAACATAGTGTTAATTGAAATGTGATATTGACTCAGATTGGTTGCAGGAGAGAGAGAGAGAGAGAGTACGATGATTCTTCTCATCTCAACACCCACATATAATTATATTGTTAATTAACTAATAATAAGAAAAATACCCCATTCTGGAATATTCTAACACACCCCCCCAGTTGGTGCATATATATCCTTCGTGTCTTAACTTGCATAAAATGGAATGAAAATACCAATTACAAAGACTGTCAGTGAACTCATTAGCCAACTGTTCTTTGCTTTCTGAAGGGCATACATATTAGCCCATCATTTAGTTATTCCTTGTTGAAATATCTGTCAAAGTTGGTTTGCCCGCAGTCAAGTTTAGATGATCCATTATAGTAACTTCGGAACTTGGTTGCAAAATAGAGCAAATTCTTACCATTTTCTCTTTGTGATCTTTTAAAATTTTAAGCAAGTAATAACTATAAAAAGAAATTGCTTGATATAAATTTATTAGACCTCTCCATATTATTGAGACTTTTCAAAGCTTTCCACGTCCTTCAAAATTTTTAAGCTTTCCTCTTTCAGAATATCTCTCTTCACTATTTCTTCAAACAGTTTATTAAACAAATTCTGAAGTTTCTTCTAATTATCATTTTCATCACCATCTTTGTATTCTTCTTCGTTAGACTCATAATCACTCAAAATAGATGGATGAGATTACTCTGCTACTAACTTTTTAGGTCAATCAAAAGATCTAAAAAAACACCAACATTAAGAACAACCACAACAAAAACATTATGAGAAGTATCATCATTGAGATGAGAAGAATTATTAAGATGATAAGAATCAGAATCAGAGTTTGTCACATTCATTGATTGACTTCGGTGCTGTTTGATAAAACTGAAAATTAAGCACTGAAAATTTCAAGTACTGAATTTTAAGCACTGGAATTTTAAGTGCTAAATATATTAATCTGTAAACTTGTATTAATTTTAAGCACTGAATTCATTAAGATTGTTTGTTAAATGCAAAAGCTGAAATCTGAATGTTGTATATATTACATTTTTGGTTTGAATATCTTCTACACATAATATTATTATAAAAGATACTATATTAAAACACAAGACATATATATAAAATAATGAATTTCACCAAAGAAATATATCAATTTAACAATGGATATTAATGTCAAAACTGATCATAAAAATTTCAAAATCAACATATAAAATGAATAACTTACGAAAATGAAATATTTATGAGAAGGAGATTAGAATTCACGCACAAATGATTTGATTTTTATTTATATAGTAGATTTGCATTATAACAATGGTGTGGGAGTTTCATTGCATGATTGTTGATTATAAATTTGAGTGAACCATGCAGTGTGTGTGTGTGTGTATATATATATATATATATATATTTATTTATTTATTTATTTATATTTTGTTGAATATTATTTATATTTACATTATTTGAGAAGAAAAATACAATGAAACATGTGAGAAATTGGAGTAAACTAAAAAAAAAATCCATCGGAAGGGAATAGAAATGCAAAGTGGAAATAGAAAGTCCATCAATACGTTTAATTTCAAGAGTAGCATCAATATGTTTAATTTCAAGAGTTGAAAAAGTGATGGAGAGCCTAAAAATATAATATTTGAAGGTAACATTGTCATTAACAAAATATTTTAAAACCTAAAATTACTTACCGTCTTCTGCAATAAGCGTTAAGCAAGGTCCGTGACGCTTAAAATTTTGGCCTGTTTTAAGTTACTGCATAATATTTTAAGTGGTAACCTAAATGTTTTCAAACACGCTAATTTTAAAAGTTCGCTTACAATGTTCTGTGTTAAGTGCTGAATAGCGATATCAAACAGGCCCTTCTTCTTAGACATCCTATTCTTTTAAAGAAATTTATGAGCTATATGACCTTTCTCTTGATGATTCCAACATTACAACAACCACAACCACCACCACCACCACCACCACCACCAAGCCTTTTCCCAATTACTTTGGGTTGGCTACATGAATCCTATATTTTCATTTTGCTCTATTTAATGCCATAGCCTCGGTCAATCAACATGGTATGATTTCTTTCTTTACTAACTCTACCCACGATTTGGTCTACCTCTTCCCTAGTATTACCCTCAATGTGGACTATAACAGTTTTTTAATTGGTGCACTTAAAGGTCTTCTTTGCACATGTTCGAACCATCTTACCTGATTTTTTCTCATTTTATCTCTAATTGGTGCTACTCCAACCATCTTCCGAATGTGATCATTTCTAATTCTATCCGTTCTAGTCTTACCGCACATCCATCTCAACGTTCACATTTTTGCCGCACTCACTTTCTGCAAATGTTGTTTTGTAGCTTCCCTGGTTCCGTTAAGTATGGCTGGTCTAATAGCTGTTCTGTAGAACTCCCCTTTTAATAGTAAGGGAATTCGCCTATCACACAATATACTAGATGCACTCCTCCATTTAACCCATCCTATCTTGATTGTATGATTAATGTCATCTCCAATTTCTCTATCATTATGAATAATTGAGCCTAAATAACGAAAACATTCAATTTCTTTACCTCTGGATTCTCAATCCTCACTTGTTTCCCCTAGAGGTGTTCTAATTATAGTCACACAAACATCATACATGTCTTATATTGTGTCAATGTATCCCTTTGTGACTCCTTTCTTTTCTAAAACCTCCATATTAGTTCTTTAGTTACTTTCTCCAATTCAATCAAAACCATATGGAGATCTCTCTTCTTCTCTCTATATATTTCCATTAGTCTCCTTAATGAGTGAATAACCTCCATCATTGACCTACCCAACATGAATCCAAATTGATCCAACACTTCCATTTCGCGTCTTAGGTGTTGTTCAATCACTCTCTCCCAAAGTTTCGTAGTAACTCATTAGTTTAATACCACAGTAATTATTACAACTTTGTGCGTCCCCTTTATTTTTATAAATATGTACTAGAATACTTTGGAACCACTCATCCGACATCCTCTTAGTTGTTATTATCTTATTAAACAAGTTTGTTAACCAAGACAAGCGAACTTCTCCTAGACACGTCCACACCTCAATAGGAATGCCGTCGAGGTCCTAAAGCCATCCCTGGTCTCATCTTCCTTAAGGCATTCCTAGGACTTTACTTTGCTACTCTTTTAATGTATGTAGTCATCTTATTCCACATTAAGTTTGTTTCATTTTCTACATTCCATGTTGCTTATTTAACATCCTATTTGTAAATAATTGTACTTTCTCCCCTCTTAAATTCCACCACCTAGTCCTTGGGTTTATGGTTCCATTTCTCCTTTTAGGTTGTCCTTTTATACATAATCTAAAACAAGAAGCCTATGTTGTGATGTTAGACTCTCTCTCCGGGAATAACCTACAATCTTCGCTTGTTAATCTATCTACCTTTCTAGTTAAAAAGTAATCAATTTACTTTGTATTTGATCCAGTTTTAAAGGTTATTAAATGTTCATCTCTCTTTATAGAATAGGTATTCCTAATTATAAGATTACATGCGATCGCAAAATCTAAGATAGTCTCCCTGGCATCATTTCTATCTCCACCAAATCCATGTCCACCATGTACCATCTCATATTGTCCACTCTCTTTTCTTACATGACCATTAAAGTCTCCTCGTCCTATATACACTTTTTCTCCTTCGGGTATCCCTTGCATCAATATCCATAGGTTCCCAAAATTGTGTTTTAATATTGTCATTTGGTCCTCCTATTTGGGGTGCATACGCGCTAACTATATTAACTATGTTTCCTCCTAATATGAGTTTAAATAATATTATCCTATCTTCTTTTCTAATAACAGCTACCACCTATTCTTTTAAGGTCTTATCAATGATTATCCCTAGCTTTTGCACCTACCCACTTAGTTTCTTGTAAAAAAAACAAAAATAATTTTTTTTTGATAATAAAGATGAAATAGAAAGCATTCAAAAGGGAAACGCATCTCGGAAGCTAAACAAAGGCCAAAAGCCAAAAGGGACCCTAAGGACCCAAAGAAGCCAAAAAATCAACAAATTCCTCTAAAGATGTACAATATCTCCCCATAACCCAACAAAAAAGAGAGCCAACAATAAGATATTTTAAAGCCCTAATAGAAGACTCCTCTCCATAAAAGGATCTTCTATTCCGCTCCTTCCATAAACACCACCAAATGCAGAGGGGCGCCACCCTTTAAAAATCACGAACATGGGATCCCATAAGGCACCCTCTCCAAGCATCAATCAAGCCTCTCAAAGACCGAGGCATGACCCACTAAACTCCAAACAAAAAGCCATGGGACAATGCAAAAGGAGATGTTCGATTGACTCTCTATCCTTCTTACACATGCGGTACCAATAATTGACAGTGACCTATCTTCTCCTTCTCAGGTTATCAAGTGTCAGAATCTTGCCCCACACCATAGTCCAAGCGAAAAAGGCTACCTTAAGAGGAGCCTTGGTGCGCCAAACCTTCTTCCAAGGAAAAAGAGGTCCGGAAAAGTCCGAGGCATCTAAACAAAGAGCGCACATTAAATCTCCCCTGAGGAGAGGGCACCCAAATGAGAGCATCCGGGCCTCCGCCATCAAAGACCTGACGATACAAAAGCCCCAAAAAGCCAACAAACAGCCTTGGAAATGTCTTGCAGATAAGAGTCGCCAACCAGGGCATGTCTATCAACGGCAATCCTGAATAGCCCGGGAAAAGAACAAGCCAAAGGGCGATCACCACACCATAAGTCCTCCCAAAAACGAGTGCCCTTGCCATCTCGAACTTTGAATCTGATATGTTAAGAAAGTTCATCCCAACCCTTCCGAATAAATTTCCAAACACTTACACCCTCTGGGGTTCTAACCGCAAATGAACACCATCCGCCTCTCTCCTCCCCGAAACGGCTCGAAATAACCCTCCTCCAAAGTCTGTGGTGCTCGCCACAAACCTCTGTTCCTTTAGCCGCTTATAGTCCAAGTCCCTATCCTAAGCATACTATCCTGGGCTAACTTCTTTACCCACACTAGTCCAGAAAAACGCGGGAACCCTTGCCAATTTTTTACTGCACCCGGTTACTGATGCAGTGCCCATTGCCCATTTTTTGAAGCATCCGAAAGCTGATGCAACGCGCCGCTTAAGGGGAACGCCCTAGCATTTAGTTGTATATTCATAGGATTCATGTTCATATTGATGATGACAAAGATTTATGCCGCCTGTCAAGCTACCTTGCAACTCCCCTCCTTTATCCGGGCTTGGGATCGGCAGTGTAAAAGAACATAAGCAGAGTTACAATTCCAACATTCACTTTAATTTTATTGGTCATTCGATTTAAAACTTTTGTTCAGCTTTGACGATGTACTTGTTGATCTGTTTTTATTAAATTCCTTTTAAAACTATCGTGCATCTTATTTTGTATTGGAAAAATTATTAAATTTTCTAGTCAACAAAGCAATCTCATTGCTATCAAAATGATTATTTGACTCATTAAATTAAATCTCAATAATTTTCAAAGCAGTACTTTTATTTTTTGAAGATTGTGGCAAATTAAGCTCACAAGCCTTTAATGAACAAACAACTACTTTTTTGATTGAGTCAACATATTTGTTTTCTTCTAGAGTTGTTTACTTTAGGTTGAAATCTAGTAGGCAAAGTTCTCAGTATCTTTCTGACAACTCTATATTTAGGTATTCTCTCATATAGGTTAAACTCATCAAAGGTTTCATAGTCTTCCGTTATAATTACTTCAAACCTAGTTGTGACTTGTGAGCATTTGCAATTTTTAAATTTGACACTGGTGGTTTCTTCATGTGCAACTTCTAAAGTTTGCACATGGATTTCTAAAAAAATTCTCGTGCTGACCGTATTGAAATTTTCATCAAGTCCTTAGAGTTTGCATTCCTAGATCCACAATCATCTTTAGATCAATTTCCCCTCAGTTTTGTTAAGAGTCATATGGTTTGTAAATGTTCCTTCAGTTTTTGAATGGAGTGTTTAATCTGTTTCAAGAACAAGCCAAATGTTTTCACCAACTAACCCCTAAGAAAGGCTTCATCCGAGATTTGGAATAGGTATTATTGTTTCTGTTAATTAAAGGGGGTCGAAAAACTATTCCAACACTCGTATGTCAATCCATATTTTTCAAAACAAAATTTAAAACCATTAAAAAGAAATAATGAAAGTGTTCTTTCAGAAACTTTGTGAAGAACTGACACTATTTTGAGCAACTTGCTTTGACGCAAAGTGGAAGTTCTGTGCAGAAGAATGCCAAATGGATACACAGATTTAGTAAGTGTTCGTGGTCGCCAGTCCAGCTGAGCTACGGTCTTCTCACACCAATGTATATATGATTTAACTTGTTGCTTATTGCTCTCAAGTCTTAAACGACCAAACTACCTGATAAAATAAAGATAAATACTCTCGAATGTGCTCTAAATCTTTTAAAATACACTAGATTTCAATGTTATTTTATTATAATCTAAGTTAAGACACCATAATAGACCTTTTATGTTGTTAAGGAATCCTAATCCCATTTTAAATTGATTTTGGTACCTTTATCAAACTTGAAAACTGTCTTTTTCCATAAATACACCAGGGGGATTGGTCTTTGATGCAAAATTGATTGATCCAACCATATTAGGATAGAGCAATAATTGCTGTTTTTGAGAGTGTCATCACTCAACAACAGTGCTGGGAATGGTCCATAAGCTTTTGGGATTGGTCCCCAGGTTTTCATTTTGAAAATAACCCGAGATTTATCAAAATCATACTAGAACCCTTAGTTCTCAAGTATTTCAATTATGTGAAGGTATCACATTTAGATATATGGTCCACTCAATTCAACTAAAGTAAGGCTAATGTGTGTGTTTTATTTGATCATGTTACCTTATCATATTATTGCTTAGCAATCAAGATGTAATCTTCAATTTGTCTTTGATCATAGCAATCAAATTCAGTCTTCATTCTTCAATTATATCAAGAGGCAACTGACTAAACTAAACTTGACCAAACTAGAACAGTCCAGAATTTGACCAGTTATAATCATTTTGACACAAAATTGCCAACTCGGCGCATGCAAGTGCTGACAAATTTACTTTTTCTGTATGCAGATTGGGAACTGTGTTGGTGCAGCAAATCACCGGAGCTTCATTGTCTTCCTCATCTCAGCAGTGATTAGCACACTTTATGTTTCTGTCATGTCCACATTTGCAGGACTCCGAATCTGGCCGCCAGTAAAATACGGACCTATTGTTCTTTCTCATGCGTTCAACAGTGATACCGCTTTCAGGACTATGAAGGAAATTGTATATGCTTTTATGAGGTCCACTGAGTTTCTATCCACGAGAGGGCTCATTCTTGTTTACCTGTTTGTTTCTGGTGTTTCAGTGGGGGTCGGGATAAGTGTGCTTGTGTGGCAGCAGCTCTGTTATATATACGAGGGGAAGACTTACTTAGATCATTTAAGTTTGCAGGGGAGTAGTAATGGGATTGGGCAATCAGATTTTCGAAATATTTCCCGTTTCTTCGGTTTCTCGTATTCTGCATCCAGATATTTGCCGATTTCTTTTAATCCTAGGAAGAACCATGAGAAAAGAAACTTGTAGGGGTATGATGACCTCACTCTCTCTCTTTTTTTTTTTTTCTTTCTTTTTTTTTGTCATTTTTTTTTTTTTTGGGGGAAAGTTTCATGAAGTCTTGGGTTTATCTAAATCATGTTGTCATAGTAGTTGCAGTTGCAGTTGCAGTTATAGAATGTAAATTAAACAAAAATTTTATTAATATACTTTTTTGTCCATTCTTCTTTATGCTTTGATGTTTTCCACTTTCCAATGAAAATAGAGTGAACTATATAGGGTTGAATGGTGCAACTATTTATGAGTCTTAGATATGAATCATATTTATGCTGTTACTATTGGATTTTTTTTTTTTTGGTTAATGGACTATTGGATTTTTTTGTTAAACAAAATATGATCAGCTTTTGTTGTTTTGGCTTGAATTTACTGTAATTTGGAAGGGTTTTTGTGGGCTCTCGAACAAATTACAAATAATAAAATCAAATCAAATGATACGTTGTCATCTAACTGAACTAAGCAGGTCAAAGATGAAGCCAAATACTTCACTTTGACCTAATTTAATACATGATTAGTTTACAATCTTTGTCTTTTGAAATAAGAGGCTTGTTATGTCGCGGTTGGACCACTCTGTCCTCTCTTTGGGTGGGAGTCCCCAGATCTGAATACTTTTGGATGGACATTTGGCGTGAGACAATGAAACAAGTCGGGCATTTGGAATCCTATTCAAAAGTTTGAACTACTCTATTTTACTCGATCTTATAAGTCCTGAGACTGTCCATGGCGATGTGGATCAGACCTTAGCCCACTGGTGATTGTACAAAATATTTCCATATTATGAAAACGGCCTTGATAAAATATAATGATTTGCTGGTCGAAATGGGAAGAAATGAGGTTTTGTTATTAGTTTATATTTATGTATTTGTTTGTACACGATATATATGTATTTGTTTGGTGTGTCCGTTTGTACAAGGCTGTGAGCTAAAAGCAAATTATGTTTTTTTTTTTTTTTTACTTGGTTGACTGAAATATTTCAGTCAAAGCGCCTTTTAAAGGGTTAGTGGTACAATTAAATTGAATAAACTCCTTGACTATGGTGATTTTTACTTGTTGCACATAAATGGTCTCCTAATTGTATTGTTTTTGTAATTAAAATCGAAGCCACTGGCTCCATTTGTTTTGAAGTAAAATATTTTTGACATTTTCACTTGTTTGGTTGTGTTTTTCAAATCCATATTTTGGTGTTTTATGAATTTAGAAATACAAACAAAATATCGTTTCTTGTTGCAATGCTTAAGATTGGCAATGGCTCCATTTGTTTCGAAGTAAATGTTTTTCAGATTTTTTTTTTTTTTTTTTTTTTTTTTTTTTTTTTGGGTACTTTCCAACGTTTGATTGTATGTTAAAAGCATAAAAAAACATTTTCCAAGTAAATGAATTTCCCAACAAACTTAAATATTCACGTAAGTTATTTTTCAAATTCTAAATCTATGTTCTCTGACCCTATGCTGCTCAGAGGACTAACGTTTTGATCGGTATTGATTATTGACAACAATTTTGAACTTTGGTTCGATTTTGTCGAGCTTGGCTAAGGGGTCCTGAAGTAGTATAAAATTTGATTTATCTCAGTGTTTGATAAAATGTCACATTGAAAATTTTGATCGATATTTCAAGTCGAGATAAAAATCATTTGTCATGATTTCCTTGTTGAGGGCTGAGCTTTTACTCGAGCAAAGAAAATTATTAAGAAGACCCTGGTTAGTGACCATAATACATTTGTAACAAACAAACCTACAAAGATTGTCAAGCAGTAGTTTTTCCACACACAAACATCACACACATACAGAATGACTATACTAAATTCCCAAATCACTTGAATTTTAGGGATACCCTACCTCTCTCAAATGAATCATTAGGAATCATACCAGTGGGGATCACACTTTAAAAATAATAATAATAAAAATAAAAATAAACCTCAGGGCTCCATTTGTTTGGGTGTAAAATATTTTCTTATTTTTTGGTATTTGGTCGTAAAATATTTACAAAAAAATTATTAAAATCTAACAATTATAACTTACCCATCAATTTTCAGCAAGTTATACACGATACGCCCGATGGACTTAACCTAGAGCTTTGCCAAACACCGAAAAAATAAAAATAAAAAATATTTTACCTGAAAAAAGAAAATCTTTTCCAATGAAAATATTTTACGTGGAAACAAATAGAGCCTACCTATAAAATGCAACAGCCAGCATTGCAAAAAGTTGAACATGTGACCCAAGTGAAACATAAAAGACGTAGTAACAGAGAATGAATCCCTCCTTGACTTGCATGCTGTTGTAAGTTTTGCATTGCATCACAAAAGAACATCTGCAAATACAAATAACTAGAGCACATACTGTAATTAAATTACATGTGATTGATCAACTTCAAACCATAGTGGACGATTGTGTGATTCATCAGAACCAGTGACAAAAGTAGCTAGACAAGATGGGACATAAATACCTACTAAACCCTGGAAGTCCCGTCTACTAGATTAGCACGAGACCGATTTAGAAGTCAAAAAATTGGAGCTGCTCCGTTGGATTAAAGTTGCCAATCTACCGGAGAACTCCCCATTTTCTCCAAGATCTGGTTTGTGCGAGAAAAATGCCTGTACACAATTATCAGCAATAGAAAATTACCTCAACATTAACATTATGTTCATGCCCTTAAAACGAATATAATTTTCTTCCATATCATAAAACAACTTTTTCACTTGAAACTACAAATGTTAACACGGACCCATGAACACCAGCCTCCATTTTAAGCACAATTAATCTATGTGATCCCAACTCGTGAATAAAAGAAGGATTGAAGTAACCACACACTGAAGCATGACTGTGTGAATCCAATGACTTGAGGAAGGTCAGGATTCACTTGGTATTACTGTGAACCAGATTAATGGTAATAGCTGCTGCAAATGTGAAATCCAATGACTTGAAGGAAGGTCAGGATTCAGAGAGGATTACTGTGAACCAGGTTACTGGTAATAGCTGCTTCAAACTGAGTACTACCACTAAACTAAATCACAAAAATTCTCACATTCGTCTCCATTCCTGCTTCCATTTAGTTTTAACGAGCATAATCAATTTCCCTTTCCCAAATATGCAAGCTAACTAGTACTAATAGGAGGATGTGAGGTATTCGGTTTTCCGCCAAGACCTCATTCCTCTAATATGATTCACTGAATCAGCATAGAAGGACCTAATTTTGTCTCTTTTTTTTCTCCACTTATAAGAAAACTCTAGGAATATGGTTTATTTTCCTCTATTTTCTCTCCTCTTCAACCTTATCCTTTCTTTTCCTTTCCCTCTAAAACTCAACTCCAAAACGCGCTCGCAAGTTCAAATAACACTTGAGGTAAGCTTACATCTACATTTAATTTGATCAAAATTAATAGAACAGTGTAGACTTGATACAAAATATCATCAAGGGTATAAACAAACCTGCATCCAAAGAAGCCTCTGTTTGCAGAAAAACCAGAAGGGTGAGCTGCTTTGAGAACATGGTGCTTTGTCTCATCAATCAACCTGTATGACATTTTGCTATAAGAATAATAACAACAGTTCAATTCTTTCTGAAGTTCCTATATTCTACCAAATTTTCTCATTAAGGCAAGCAAAACTCGAAGTTATCCCTTGTTATTTAAATTTCCAACTTAAATATCATTCTTAACCTTTTTTATTAAACCGAGTTTAATGCTTTCTTCACTCTCAATTTCATAATATATTGTTGATAAATAAAAACTCATGTTATTTCATCACTGATATTTTAAGCTTTTGGAGTAGCTAGTTGTTAACATGGCATTGAAGCAGGAAAGGCCTAGGCTTGAATCTCACCCCTTGCAATAAGATAAATGCACGTACTTGACCATCTCACCAAGGGGAAGTTGGCCACATTTTGTCCATAGTTCTATGCAATCTCACTAGCTAGAAACAGAAAATTTGGCTACACATGAGGAGTGTTCATGATATAATTACACAAGTTTTATATATCCTCTCCAACAGTAAACTTCTTGAGCAGTTGGTTAACATTCGAGTAGAATAATTCCTGAATATACATTTCGAATATAAAAAATCTTCAAGTGGAATAATTCCTGAATCCACATTTCTCAAACAGCATGTCAATGTATTACTCTTTCTGTAGCACTTGTGCCAATTGTTTATTTTTTGCAACTTCAACTAGGTCGATCAACTGACCACCACTAGATCGTGTCACATAATGTGACGTCCCTCATCGGGTGAGAGAAGTTGCTAGCATTTATAAAGGGGATATCTCCTCCCTGTGTAGGCATGTTATAAAATCGTGATCTCCAAGAGGGTGCAAAGTGTGAGATCGGTCTCGACATATGGTATCAGAGACAATCCCCAACCAGAATATGGGGGGAAGTGTTGGATCCTGAGAGTGGGTGATGATGATGTCCCACATCTCGCCTGGGGGAGAAGTTGTTGGCACTTCTAAGGAGATGCCTCCTACCTAGTGAACACGTTTTATAACTCTGAGCTCCAAGAGGATGTAAATCAGACAATATCTACACAGTGTGAGTTGGGTCTTGACACATAACTCTACTACCCTATCTAACTGTTGTGCCGTTCAAGCCACCTTGTTTTATTCGATTACTCGGTTGAGCTCCACTAAATTTGTTGTTTTATGCCTTTACCCAATGAATTCAAGACTTCACAAGATTTAGAAACATTTTTGTGTATTAATTCAACATATCTGATTTTTTACAATATTAAATTTAGTTTCATAACCGTACATTGCCATCCTAACACTACAAGAATAGAGAAAATTTTCCGTGAATGATGTCCGGAGAGATGTTCTAAGTTGAAATTGTTCAATCAAGTTGATGCTTTTCTGCACATTTATCTTGTCAAGTGTGTTTTGGTATGCTAAATATATTGATGAAGCTTTTAATAAAGAAGTTCAGAGCCTCTGCAGCCAAGATTACTAAATGAAATTACCTGGATTTTGCTTGAGCATAATTTCCCCATAGAAGAAAAACAACTCCTCTCTTCTTTTGTGAAATTGTCTTGATGACAGAATCAGTAAATTGCTCCCAGCCTTTTTTCGCATGAGAATTCGGCTGATGCTGCCTAACTGAAGAAATTAAGAAAATATAAGTTAATGGAACAGAGTTAAAAACAGAAAACCACTCCAATATGCTAATGCTCTAGAAGAAATTGCCATAAAAATATTCAATAAGTAGCACAACTGTTGACTTACATGGACTTGGGGTTTTATGTTTAAATGTCAAACTCCTCGTACATCAATATTTTAATACAGGGGAACAGAGCTAAAATACCAAAGTTGTCAATTTTATTTTCTATGCCCCAAGTTGAATTGAAGCATCAAGCAACATAGTTTGCCCTGCACGGAAACTGTGCCCATTTTTTAATACTCGTGTTGTCTAAGAACATTTTGAGAAATTACACTTAGGATATGATCCAGGAAGAAATACCTTTGCTTGATCTAGCCATCTCAACCCCCAAGAAGAAACATAATGTAACCCAAGTGTTTTATTACAAATTCTCTAGCTAGATGATCCTTAAATCGGGAGACTTCCTTGGTATCATCTCATCAACTCAAACTATTAAGGCATCATGCCTCTCATTCACTTAATGAACACGGTATAATCTCCATGGCTGTTTGTAACTTTGTACCCAAATCTTATCATTGCCTTATGAAATTCTTTCAAACCAAGCCCTTGCAGATTGCTTCAACCCATAAAGTGACCTTTTAATACACAACTTCCTTTCAGTTGTTGGAGAAGAAAATCTTTGAGGAATCTTGTTCAGTGATTTAGTACTACCATCTTGGCAATTGTAGTTCAACAGAATTTTGAGTAGAAATGTTTGTCCATCAACACTTGGTGAAGTGTTCAAAGGTCAATCCAATGAAATAAAAGTGGATTTTGTTATGTCACAAGGACTTAGGTTGGCAATTTTTGTACAAAACAGAGCCTGTATTTTATTTTCTAAAATGAAGTTTAGTTAGTTAGCAATGTGTTAACTTTTGATCCAAAATACTTCAATGCAATTAAAGAATTTATCAAGATCAAAAAGGTAAAATCACTCTCAAGTACTAACTCACCAAATTAAAATATTTAGTTGAGCATTCATATTGTTTATGATGGTTGATTGTGTAACATGTGTGATTGAATGCATATAAAAAATATGTAGATTGAAGCCAAGTTTTAATTGGACAATGAGCACGCTCGGTTCAAATAATCAACCAAATTGATGAATCGATTGAACCTTGCAGATTTTTTTTTCCCCCAATTCTGGTTTCAAACACTAAACCCTAATTTTTCAGCTCACAAAACCTATTTAAACTCTCATAAGGCTTCAAAAGTAATAACTCCTGATCATTAGAGCATTTTTGCATCCTTCGAGAACATAAAGGCTTTGAGTGCTTTGTTTCTTTGTCTTTTCATTTTTGCAAACTTCACTAGATGGTGAGTTATCTTTGACTATTGATACTATGATCATTCAAGCTTCAAGTATATTCAACACCATGTTTCACACAAAGAAAGGATAAGAGGTATCTGGACGGCAGGAAGAAGCCAATCACGTGATGAGCGGATTAGTTGATCTACTGCAGCACAACTCGAAGTATCTGACATGAGTCTAAATTAAAGGTTACTTAGATGATTCTAGGGTAACAGTCTGATAACTATGATTCATAACCTTTTCTACATAGTGATTGGTTTTTCCTGGTCTAGGGTCTCATAGTTTCTTCCATAAAGGCTTTCCCCACAAAATTTGTGTGGGATTTCCATTTTATTCTTTGCTTTAAATAAAATAAAAAGAGAACTGAAATTTCAGTATATGTTACAGCAGAGAATTATTAAATTCCCAAGGAATTTGAAATTTCTGTTATAGTTAGTTAAAAAGTTGCAGAAGACTCCCCACCCTCCCTCTTTTTCTATATCTAGTTTGGGACTTAGCTCATGGAGTATGTGAACTTATTTGGATTTAGACCTTGATGAGTGATTTGGGCATTATAGATGATGGACCTACCAGACTTTATTGTGACAACAAAGCAGCCATTAATATTTGCGCATAACCCGGTGATGTTAGATGTATTCTACAACCATTCTTTACATCCTTTTCTCTTGTTCTTTCTCTTATCTTAAAAGTTCAAATCTTCGGCATTTTTAGCGTTCATTGGGTAATGCCTCAGACCTCCATAGGATTGATTAATGCATGGAGAAGATGCCTAGTGAAAAGTCAAGCTCGTGACTATTGGAGGATAGTTCCACACCGTGTTTGGTGGTGCATATGGAGAGAGAGGAATAGCAAAAATTTCAAAGGAAAGGAATCGTCTTTGGCGACCTTGAAAATTCATATTCTTCGTTCTATTTTCTGTTATTTGAAAGGAAGCACTTGCTCCTCGACTGATGACTTAGTTGATCTTTTGGACTCTATTGGTCCTTAGGTTCAATTTTTGCTTTTTGTATTAGGGACGCGTTCCCCTTTTGAGCTCTTTTCTAATCGACTTTTACTTATAAAAAAAAAAAAAAAAAAAAAGGTTCAAATTCTAATCATCCTAGACCTAAATTTCAACTATTATCTACAAAAGGATTCGATAGAGTCAAAATTTGAACAGGAGTAGTTATCCTGGCTACCAGCTTTGTTCTCCATCTCTTTGCCCCAGGTCCCAATCTCCGACTGCTCCATCCTTCCACTCACAAATCCTCTGCTCTCAATCAAATAAAAGTTCTCCTAATCAGTATCAGAGCTTGTTTAAACTTCTCAAGAGGTATGGAATCATATAAAAACACTTGCTAGGGTTTTTAAGAGACATATACATACACACACATACAGACATAAACACGATTGGGAACTTGAAGGCTTGCAATTGAGTTCTCTGCCTATATACCTTTTCCAGCAAGATTTATGTTTCTTGGTTGTTTCACACACCCTAACACTATCTTTGGTTGGAAGGAAGAATGGAAGAGAGGAGGGAAAAGGTACCCTACAAATATGTAAAACAATTTTAACCTTTAATTACTAACAAAATCACTAGTTAACCCCTATCTCTCACATATATAATAAGGGTATATTGGAAAAATATATAAAAAAAACTCTCCTTCCCTTCCTTCCAACAAACAAAAGAAATGTGTCACTCATTCATCCTTTCTACTATCCCTTGCATTCATGATTCAACCAAACAAAAAGTGAGGGAGACGCCTAACCTCCCCAAGGATGTCATATTCATCCCCCCTCCTCTCCCTTCCATCCATTTTTCCATCCCTCCAACCAAATGGAGCTTAAGTGATTTAGATGTACGTATGAATGTTGATTGGTATTGACATTATTTTTTGAATTTATTGATTTAGTAAAGATCAGAAGCAAAAACTTATACTTCTTGCATGTGTTTGTGTGGATGTTTAGCTTTCAGTCAATGTGGAAGTTGGTGGGTCATGTGGAGTGATTGTGTTAACAACAGCAGCATTCGAACTCGAGAGAGCAGGCGTGAGATGACTCGTCAACGGTACAACTCTTTTGTTTAGTCAGTGTAGGGTATCAGTCTTTTATCGAAGTACTGAGTTTCTACTTCTTTGCTTCATAATGGATTAGTTAACACAAGTCTCCATGATTTTCCCAAAAAAAAAAAAAGTGTCTCTCCTATTCTTGATTATTAATTAACTGCTTTGTGTGATTGTGTACTATTCAAGTCACTTCACTTTAAAAATGAGTTGCAATATCTAACTATAATTGAGTCGATAACAAGATTGTGAGAGAGAATTGATTAAGTAAAAATTAGAGAATGATGAAGTTCATGAAAGATCAATGGTAAATGAAAAATGAAATATCTTACCAGTAAGAACAGCGTTGAGCAAGAGCACACCCTGCAATATTGCAGTATCATTGTCATTCTTAGTTTTTAAGACATAATACTATGACATAGCATGTCATATCAGATTAAATAAGACATATAAAAATGCAACAAATTTGATTTAGTAGACAGAATTATCTAGTAAAATAAATATCAGCAGCACAGCAAATGGCATATGCAATACAAGTTCACAATGCCTTTCTTGATGTCAAAACTGAACAATTACTTACTTCGAAGGCATTATTCAAATAAAGTGACAGCTTTAAAATTTTAATTTTTCATACTGCTGACGGCCTTTTTGAGATAGAAATGCAGATACTACTATATCATTAAATGGCAGATCAGGTAATTGACATCATTCTCTGTAAAGATTTTGTCTATTGTAAAGCATTGCTCCTTGGATAGAGATGAGATAGTCTACCCATCAGGGTAAATTTGATGCAATTGTTGATCGCAATCATATAAAATAAAAAGAATATAAAAACAATTAGTTTAGTGGGACCAAGAGATGCAATCAATTTCAATCAATTATTTGGACACTTAATGAATTGCATGAGCAATTTTCCACACACACACACACAAAAAAAAATAATAATAATAATAACAACAAATGGAAGATGTCAGGGTAATCATAGAAATCATGATGAAACATTAATTATAATATAAGCAATCATGCAAATCAAATCGACTATGAGAAAGAAGTTTACAACTAGGTTAACAGTTCTTAAACCATAGAAGAACCACTTGTTACCTCTTGACACAGACTGATCAACCAAACTCTCTACTTGAGTATGTTCCATCAACAGATCTGCTCCTCACATGATCTGTTTATCCAATCAGTGATTTGAACTCTAATGCTAGTCATCCAACCTTTCATGTGTAGGTGTTGTCGTTGACCAACCTTCAAATTTTCAATGAAACTCTTTACTTTTTTCTTTTCTTTTTTTGATACATACTGAAACTCTTTACTTTAAGAACTCAATCACAAATTAATATAGGGTAGTGTCTGAAGAACTTCACTTGTGATTGAAAAACAAAGCTCTCAATCTCTCTTACACTTGTTTAATTGTTCTCTTGTGTTATTCTTATGTTTAGAGAACCCTAGATTATCTTTCTATAGTGTTGATGTGATTAGAAAATTATTACTAATGTTTTAGAAAGTTTAAAAACCTTTTTGGACTTGGAAATGTTTTTTTTCCAACTTTGGGCGTCCATTCAATTGATCAATGCATTGGTCGACACCTCGTGTTTTTCTCAATGGATTAAGCTTTTGGTCAAGCTATTCCAGAGTAACTTCGATTGAAGGACGTTCAGGTTTGATCAATTAACATTTTTTGCTGAACCTGACAGCACATAGCCTTACTTTGAACACTTCGATGGGCGGTAAAGCAGGCCAAAAATTAGGCATATAGTCTAGTTTCTGAATATATAAAGCTCATAAAGAAATTCAAAGTATTTTATTTTATATGAAATTTTGAAGGTCAGTTTTCCCAACATGAACTCCTTACCAAAAACCACTTTTAAATTGGTTTTCAACTTAAAACTCAAAATTTAAGCTTTCTAACCAACATTAAAGTTTCCAAATTCATTCTTAAATAAATAATATTCAACTTCATAATTATATTTAAAACTAATTATTAATTAGTTTTAAAATTTCTGAAAATTAGTCTTCAATTAAATCAAACTTAATTCAAATTTAATAATAATCATAAGAACCTAATTTTAATTGATAAAATTTTTGTTTATTATATTTATGAAAAAGAGGGAGGGGATGGATGATGGGAAAATACGAGGGAGAGAGTCGATTACCATCTAAGAAGCATAGACACAGATATGACATGGACGCGAGTCACGACGACACAGCAAATCGTAAAAAATTAAGATATAGACACCAAGACACAGCGGGGACACGTTGACTAATAAATATATAGTTTTATATATATATATATATATGATCCTGTATTTTAAGAGTAAATTGAGTCAATAATGAGATTGTGAGAGAGAATTGATTAAGTGAAAAAATGAGAGAGAGAGAGAGAGAGAGAGAGAGAGGCGATTACTTTAGCATCTTTTGGATCCAAAAAAAATCAATGGGGGCAAGAGTATATAATAGAGTATTTTCAAAAATTGAGTGGGGGCATTTTTTTAATTTTAACAAAATATATAGATAGTAATACAAATTAAAAAATCCCATGCCCCCACTGGGCCTATGCTAGGTCCGTGGCTGATCCTATGGTCACTTATTTCTTTATAATGTGTGATTGATGAAGCAAGATGTCAATGTAGTCTTTTGGCTCAATCTTCCTTCAATCTACAATCACAACTTCAATATCAATGTGAACCTTCCACTAGAGTACACAACATATAGACCATGACACAACTTTTGCTCACGGAATATGCCTACACGTGACATATTGTTCTTTCTAAAGAAGACCTTGTAACGTGCTTTGAGTGGGCTTAGAGTCAATACATATGTAGGGTTTTGTATCCCGCCAAAATTTGACCTTTTTTCCTTTCTGGAGTTATAGCTATTTTTAAACTTAATATTTTGTAATAATCTTTATATGTCCAGAAAGTAGACTCCACAAACTTTCCAATAATATATGCTTGGTTAGGACTTCATTTAACCACTTAATGAAGCCCCAGAATCCAAGTCTGTTGTGAAGTCTGCTGCTAAACACAGCACAAGAAATTTGTTCCGATACAACTTCCTTAAGTACCAGGACAGCATGCTCAAGATAGTCAAGAACTAGTACTAGTCCCTAGTTCCACCGGTATTTGTCAGGGCAGCGATTTTAATAGGGATTCACACCGATTTGGAATTTAACTCACCCAAAACACGTCGAAAATATTCCAAATCAATTTGTAATCATTTTAGAACCTGAATAAGGGTTTCTAAAGCTTATAAAAGGGCATTAAGGGATTACATAACATACACACATACACATAAGATTGGTAGCTACAAGTATGGAGTAAAAAAAAAAGGCATGGCAACATTATTAGATCAATTTTACCTGTATAGCCCATTTTTCCAAATTCCCATGGGAAGGAATCGTGCAGCATAGATCCTGGAGAAGTTCCTTATATATGTTTACCAGACTTGAAGGAACTTTCATGCCTTCAGGCACAGAGAAAGAAAGGCCCATTGCTTGACCAGGTCCATGATATGGATCCTGACAAAAGAAAATACCAAACGATAATTCTATATTTATTCCTTCAACATTTTTTTTGATAACATATTTATTCCTTCAACATTTATGCTAATAATTATTTACAAGGAAAAGCTATTGCATAACCGTATTGCCATTTTCATTCCATCACCAAAAAATGCATTTTTATGAGACGCAGCAATATTTTAGTAATATGCTAAAAAGATTATCAGATCACAAAACAGAAACCCTATGAACGATGTGACAAGTTTGGCAAATTAAAGCAATCAATAATAAAATGTTCCTTTACTGTATAATCAGGAAACGTCATGGTGACCAAAAGGCTTCAGCACATAAAAATACCAAGGAAGAACAAGAAGAATGTGCCCCAAAAAACACAACAGCGACAGTCCAGAGTTTTCAAAAGCAACTCCAAACCCCACTCCAAATGATTAAAATTACAGCATGGAATATCAGGGCTTCAAAAACCCTTCTTCTTTGAACTAAAATTGATGTCTTAAGCAACAACGAGACTAGAATGAGACAAGTTAAACATGGACACTGTCCATAAAGCTATTTCTAGAGTTGGCCTTTTCTTCAGGACTATAGTTGTGCAACCATAGATAGATCCCGGAGTCACTGGAATCCCCCCACAGTTCATGTTTGGAGAATATAAAAAACTGATCAGCCCATGTTTAATATCCTTCTAAATATTTCAATTTTTGATCAGATATGGAGAAATTCCATCCCACACTTCGAAAATCTGGAAACATAATATCAAGGAACTGTATACATTCCATATTGCCCTACCCAATTAAAAGTTCAACCAAATCCAAACATTCTCAAACCGAAAAAACATAGACAGCACGATAGCCTCATATCAACTTCAAACCCCAAAATTTCCCAAACATTCAAAAATTCATTCAGAACAACCCTTCTCGACCACCTTTAACCCTCTACACAAAGCATTTGAACAATCCAATTACAAATCCATGGTCGGTTCTGAACTTAATAAGTAACCTCCCATTAAGAGCGCTCCAAGCTAACCATTGGACATGTAGTCAACCCTCCAATTTCCAACGTTGACTGAAATTTTCATAACTCCATTGGCCTCAATATAAAAAATGAACAATGAAATGGATTCAGCACATACAAATTTAGGGGGAGAGCTCAACAATGCAGTCACAATAAGTCAATGAAAAAGTAAAAAATAAGCCTATTCATACATATCCAAATTTCGGCCTCCAGAAAAGTGTCGAGTGCAAATATGAAATGATTTTTCCCAGCATTTGGAGATCGTGGTCCTTAATTAAATTGATTTTTCAAGATTTTTCATTAGAGAAATCACTACCATTTGAAAGTTGGAGAATTTAAAAGTGCAAAAGCTTAATTTTGCTCTTAAGGAGGGAGAGTTGACTTTTATTCCTTTGGTATTTATTTTTATACTATTCTTAAGGAAGTCAAATGGGGGTGTTTGCTTATTTACATGTAATGACATAGAGAAAAAAAAATGAAGATAATCCAATATGAGGATATTTACTAAAAACTTATTCAGGTAACAAAGCACGGGAGTGTAATAAGCATGTTAAACATGCTCAATGAAGAAAACAGTCAAGAGCGGTGATGGACATGCACACTGGCTAAAAATGTACAGTTCGCAATTCCCTTTTGTGCACTAGTAAAAAAACAATGAAAAATAGCACATGAGTGGCACCGTCACTCGTAAATTCAATTGGGAGCACAGCAAGCCCCCATAAATTGCCACATGTCCCACATGATCTTGAATTTGATGGGGACTAAAATTTTTAATTTACGCACAAAGAAGTCACACACCAAAACAGCCTTAGTTTTCTATACATAAGCAGGTCGGACACACTCATAAGTCAATTATACACTGAGCATGTCAAAACAAATTTACATGGTGAGTAAAATCCTTTAAATACACAAAATTGCCTACCTTGATTCACCACCCCTAGGAAATTTTAAGTGTGGCAACTCATCAAAACTGTCACCAGCACGATCTAAATGCCCCAACGTACCCCAAAGTTCCAAATATGTCCATATTAAGTTATTTAATATTCCCAAGCTACCCTCATTTCATCCACATACACACTTCACCTCCTCTTATTTCACAAACTTAAACTCCCTCCCAAAAATAGACACCCCTGCCCCTTTGCACTATCACACTTTCCTAGCGTCCAAGTCTTATTAATTCCAAAGCTAATCTAAGCAAACCAAGGAAGAAGGAAAAGTTGAAGACAAACCCAATTTGTGGGTGTTTGAGCAGTTTCCATTTTCCCCCTTCAACACATTAAGTAATCTATTCTACTTTTAATGCATTATATATTTATCATTTATTGCCTTCTACACATATTATCTTTTCAATACATACATTATGCACTAATACAGGTTTGAACTGCTAAATAATATACGTTTCAAGTGGAAATATCACAAGTATCATCTCGCCACGATGATTGCAAGGAAACCATCAGAAAAATCCTTTTTATATCGCATTAACTTTGAAACACATGCATATAAATTACCTTTCACTATGATCAATGTAGTGGATTGTAAACCTAGAAGGAAATTATGTTTACATGGAAATGAAAGAATCTGTAGTAATTATGAACGAAATGTTATGGAATCAGAAGTGGTTGTAGCTTATTTTCAGATAAATGAATTGTCAAGAGTTCGCATTAGAGTTGATTTGATTTGTCAACTTTTTCACTCACACCCCAACAAGAAAAAATCTGCCTTACACGAAGTTGCCTGTTATACCCTCTTCAAAAACAACTAATTCACCTGTCATTACTTCATCAGGGCCATGAATATGAAAAATGCCACCAATTGTTGAACAATGGAGTTGTAATTCACTAGTTATTACATATACTCACCAAATCTAGACCAATATATGTGTATACACACACACACACACACACGAGGTTATTTGTATTCCCTGGAAACCTTCAGCCACATAACCACTCGATATTTCTTGGCCCTCTATTTGCCAAATATAGCAGGTCAGGCGCTCTTGGCCCTCTATTTGCCAAATGTAGCGGGCAAACGCTTGCCCTCTAACCCAAAAGCTTATGCTATTTGGTAGTGTTATATACCCATCCATTTATTCCCATTTCACTTTCCATCCAGATCCAATGTGAGACACCTCTAACATTCTCCCCACCCGAACTCGCAACGCCCTTATTGCGGTCGGGCGAACCTGCCTAACCGGGGTGGTACACCTCCGGGTCAAGTGCTTGGTGTTACACCAGATCAAAAATTGGGTCTGACTCTGATACCAACTGTAACAGATCAGGGACTTGCCCCCTAACAGTCTAACTCAAAAGCTTAAGCCATTGGGTAGTGCTGCATACCCACCCATTTATACCCATTTCACTTCCCATCCAGATCCGACGTGGGACACCTCTAATACCAAACTACTTACAAAAGGAAAAAAAAAAAAAAAAGAAAGGAAAGAAGAAGAGCTACAAGAGATCTTCCCAAAATAGTTCCTTTTCAAAATATCACCAAATTTAAAAAGTTAAAATACAATTAATCATGGAAGTTGATATGATAAGATGCATGTTCTAAACATAATTCAGTGTTACAAGAAGAATAGGTTGGGAATCCTAAATCAAACAAACTAAAAAGTAGAGTTGAGGGACGGGGACTAAAGCAAAAGAATTGGAGTTGCGATATCATTTAGAGAGAAAGGGATGTTTTGAATCCCCAACAAGATGGTGGTAAATAATCTCGTATACTCCTATAATTTAGTGCCTTTCAAAATTCGAATGAAACAAACCCTTTTTGGGGATCTTGTACTAATGTGGATAGAACATCAGGGCTGCAACAATCATGTTTTGTTCAAGACCAATTAATGGAAAAAGAAAATACAATTACATCATACTTCTTTAATAAAATATTCTGAGTTAGTTGGGTACTTGCACCAAGGTCATGGCTTTCTTTTTTCATTATCATCTATTTATGTTTAAAAAAACAGACAGAGAATAGAAGATGTGGTGTTCTATTTCATTATGGAAGAAATGGAGAAAATTTTGAAAAACAAAACCAAGCTTTAGGTCTCATACTTTCCATTGTCCAACATTAGTAAACAAAACTTCCACTCAACTGAACGTACTAAAATTATGTGAATAATTATTATCAACCAATATGGCTTAGTTGACTAAGCTATTGTTTCATCCCTTTACAAAAGAAAGCATATAAAAGGTAAAAAATGACAATTGCTTACCAAAGAAATGCGGATGCTGGATATAGACTAGAATACCTGTCCGATGATGACAACCTTGACCCTGTCGAATGGGGTGGTGTTAAGGGCATTGAAGATCAAGTGCTGGGGAGGATAGATGGGTATGCGGCTACCACCACCACCACTACTATCACCACATATTTCACTCTCAACAAATGTGCACAACTTCGTTGCATAGGGCTTCTGAAGCTCTCCCGGAAGTGCTTCCAACCACGTCTCCTCCACCAAAAGTTCTTCCAACTTCACATAACCCACACCTTCAGCTGATATACACCAACATAAATATAATCCCATCAAAGGATATACATTCAAATACTACAGACACACACACACACACAACCCATATACCATCAAAAGACATATATGCACATAATGACATAAATATACACATACAATATAACCCATCAAATGATAAACATGAAGAGAATAAATTAACAACCCAACAAATGATGAACAATGAATAAGGAAAATAAAATAAAAACTGAAAAAAGGGCTATCCTAGTGTATAAAGCTCCCACTATTGCAGGGTCTATTGAGATCAGATGTACACAAGCTTACCTCCACACCTAGATACACTATTTTTTATTTCAAATTGGATGTTAATATACCAGGCTTACCTCCACATGCCGATATGCTATTTCCAGTTTCAAACTCGTGACTTCCCCGCCACAATGAAATAACATTGCTCAAGGAAAAGAAAATAGGACCTCAGAGGAAAACAAAGAAGGACATATAAATTACAGCAGAAGAATGAGCAAGAGTACCTGTGGTAGACTTGGACACTCTCTCGGAACAGATTCTGAGGTTTCTTTTGGCTTTGGCCAGAAATTGGTTCAATTCAATCCGCAATTTCTGTTGATGGGTGAGGCTGGCCGAGGAGGAAGAAGATGAAGAGTCGACACCGGCGCCGGCGGCAGAGTCAGGGTCAGATGATCTGCAGATGGATGAAGAAACGGCAGTGGTCATAATCTTTGGAAGTGATTGTGATGTAGATGAATCTTTCTTCAAACGTTTAGCGGGTTGGAGGAAATCCATTAGGGTTTTGGTTTTGGTTTTGGATGAAGCCATTCTCATTCCCCAGTGCTGGCACTTTTGCGACAACCGAAATACATATATGAAAATTGATCGGGAATATATTATATATAAGTAGTGTGTTAAAAGAGTTTAACGTTTTTGGCGGGGAAATGAAATGCCTCCCCTCCTCGGTAGAAGAGGAAGTAGTGAAGTGAGAAGTGAGAACTGACTGGTCTTGAAGAGGAGAAGAACTAATTAAAAATAAAATAGTTATTGTGGTTTAAAATAAGGTAAAATTATGGATAAATACTTTTATGTTAATGGTTACAATTATAATTTTTTTTTTGGCTCCATTTGATTAGATGGAAATAAGCAAGAAAAAAAAAATAGAAATAAAAAATAAAAGAAAAATGAAGTGAATAGAAAAAAAATTATTTTCCGGCCTGCATTTGGTTAGAATAAAAATTTATTTAAGAAAATTGTAGAAAAATAATAATTTGTTATTTTGAATAGCATAAAAGTGAAAAGAAAATGATTAAAAATACTAATAAATAAATGAATTTGTATTTGTTGATGTCTAAAGAAATAGTAAAATAATGGATTATTAAATTTAATAATATAATTATTTATATTTAAAATAAGACTTCATAATATTTTTTAAAGCAAAAGTATAACTAATTATTAGTGTATGAAAAATGAAACTTAAAAAAAACACGTATTGATGGCAATACTTATTTTTTTAGAGAGATTTGATTGTATTTTGTTGTTGTCAATTATATATGAACTTATGCAATAAATAAAATAAATAAATAAGTTGTTTTGAATAGAATTTCCCTCTTAGAAATTCAGTACAAAAATAAAAGAAGAAATTATTTTTCATGATTAAGTTAATGGGTAAAATAGGAATTCCAAGTAAAAAGGCAAACATTTCACTGGGAAAAAATTATTTCCCTGTATTTTGTGAATGAAAAGTTTTGAAAGAAAATAAACAAGTATAAAAACAAAATTTTCCATTAGTTTTCTCTTTCTTTTTAAACTCTAAAAAAGTTTAAAAATTTTCTCTTTCCTTTCTTTTCTAACTATTTCCAACTAACCAAACAAAGCCTTTAAGAAAAAAAAAATCTTGCTAAAGTAGTAATAGTTTGTAAAACAATTGATGAAAAAATTGACTTATTATTTAAGCGCTAAACTTTAAAAAGTAACAAAAACAATTCTAGAAAAATATTAAACATATTAAAATAGTTAAACATAAAATAATTTTTAAAAACAAATCAATTATTTAACAAAATTACAATTGCAAAATTTAGCTTCAATTTTATAATAGTATAACTGTGTAATAGAAAAGGGAGAGGTGTAGAAGTTATTGGGGAAAAAAATGTCTAGAAAACCAACATTTAATGGTCAAATTAAAACTTTTATAATAGTTATTTGTAATTTTATTTAGAATTAATTTCATAAAAATTTTATTACTTTTAAATTTTGACCATAAATGTCCAATCTATTTTAAAAAATTCCATATATCTTAAAAATGATCAAATTGCCTTTTACTGAGCTATAAAATGACAAAATTGACTTTACTTTTAAATGTAAATAAAAATTTGAAAATTATTATTTTAAATTACAAAAATATCCTTTTTCTTACCATTCATCTTCTTTACTTTATTGTCACCGACAGGAAAAAGGGTCAGCATGTTACTACCGAAGTCTTTACTCCGGCGTTGACTTGCCGATCTGAACAGAAAATTGGTTGTTGCACAAGGCAGCGACCTGGAACCGTGAATTGACCTCAGTCACACGGACAAAATTCACAAATCAGAAAAAAAAAAAATTCATTTCCAAATCACAGACAAAATTCAAAATAAATAATTATGGGTTTGCGAAATCCTCAGTCAATCACGTGTGCTCTCCACCAATCCTCTCGATCACCGTCGATGGCGTCAAACTCCATCTCTCGTGCCCAGATTGAGGAAGAGCTGACCTAAGTGTTCAAGAAATTCAACGTGAACGGCGACGGTGAGATCTCGTTGTTGGAGCTCGGCGCAATAATGGGCAGCTTGGGCAACGACACCACCGTGGAGGAGCTGGACATGATGATCCGTAAGGTGGACGTTAACGACGACGGGTTCATTTACTTGAACTAGTTCCTCGAGCTGAACATGAAGGACATCGACTCCGGCGAGGTGCTAGAGAATCTGAAGGAGGTGTTCTCAATGTTCAACATGGATAAAAATGGGTCGATCTCGGCGAAGGAGTTGCAGAACGTGATGAAGAACACTGGCGATCTTCATAAAACCCCCTCGCTCGCTGATGCTGTGGTCTTTGGCAAACACCACACCCTCCACACAATTCCCTTGAACAATCACCAATTGTCAAAGCCAATTTTGTTTGAAAACCTTAGACAAGTACTTTGACTGAAAATTCTAACTCAGTTTGAATTCAGTCACCAATCTCACCAGCAACAAACCCAAACACACAGGTGACAGTTTTACAGAGAGATGGAGGGGATTGAAGAAGAAGACTTAAAAGGCTATTTTTGTAATTTTAATTTTTTAATTTAATATCAAAATAGTAAGATTAAATTTATCTTTTGATAGTCCGGTCCGGTTAAAGGTACATGTATACTGGGGCAACTTGATTAATTTTTAAAATATAAAAAAAAAATTTTAAATAAATTGAAATTTATGATAAAATTTAAATGTGATAGAGTTTTATGAAATTAAGTCTTTTTTTTTTAAAGTATATTTTAAAAACTTTTTTATTTTGTTTGGGAAACTGATTTATAGACAATGTTATTTTATTTTATTAGCAAAGCAAGAAAACTCCCTCTAACTCAGAAATACTCTAATTATCAGATTGTCTTGTATTAGCATCTGTATTTTTATTTATTTATTTTAAAAAAATTCTTGACAAATTAGGGAGGGAAAGTTGAAATCAATTAGGCGATAATGTCCATTTATTCATGCAAGTCAAATTGTGCACCATATAATAAATAAATTTTTTATTTTCTTAACCAATACAGTAGTCCGTAATATTTATTGATCACTTGTTTAAAAGTTTCATTTTTGAAAAAAAAAAATTTCTTACTTTAAAACATGGACAAACTACCGTCCAAATCCGGGGGCTTCTTAAAATAAAACCACTTCTTTCGTCTTCAGAAAAGGATAAGGTTCTGCTCAAAGCTACATTCTTGTGTACTTCCCATCGGAGAGAGATGGAAAAGTCTGGGCTGTTAATTTCAAGAAGAAACATAATCCAAAACCCTTTTCTCAATGGTGGCTCAACAACCCAGAAATTACCGAGCAACACCTCCAAATTCAGAAATTCTTCGGTAAGCTCTGAATTGAAACTCTATCTCTTCCCATTGATCTTTACCAGTCAAATAAGCCATCATTTTGTTCCGTTAATTTCAGCAGAAAGTACTCAAAATTATGTTCCCATTTGGAAAAAAATAATATATTTCAGCTATGCTAGCAGTTTAAATAAACCCAATTTCCTATAGATGTTCATAAGCAATTTCATGTTTAGTTCTGTATTCAGTAGGTGTTGATCTATTTAGAGTACAGATTGCATATATGTATAATGATTGGCCAAATGGGGAGTGACCCATATTCGTGGTCTACTGTATGCCATGAGGTGCAAGTTCTAACCCATATTGAAAATACTTTCAGATGCCAAAAGAAGAAGCTTCCTGTAATTGTCCTGATTGATTTACTATTGGTAACAGCTTTATGTTCATCGTCATCATGGTTGCCTTAATCCCCAATTTCCTACAGATATTCAATATATGTGGTCATGAGCAATTTCATGTTTAGTTGTATATTTAGTGGGTTTTGGTCGATTTAGAGTACATATTGCATATTTGTTTAATGATTGGCCAAATGGGTGGTGACCCATATGCCATGAGATGCAAGTTTTAACCCATAATTAAAACACTTTTGGATGGCAAAAGAAGTAGCTTCCTTTAATTGTTCCTGATTGATTTCCATTCATTATCATCGTCATCGTGGTCATCCTTGTCTTAATCCCAATGGAATGAATTCTCTTCTCGCAATCGCATTTTAACATTATTTAGTTTTAGTTCGTGATATTTCTGGAAGGAGGCTTTCTTTCTCTAGCAAGCTTGTTGCTGTTCTTCATATTACCTTTCTTATTAGTTTCGAATATGAAACTGAACAGCTGGCTGAAGGCACTGAATTGCTGTCATTGGTTCCGTCATCACCCAAATTCTTTTTGGAACCTAAAACTAAAGGAACGTGTATAAATAACTTGTTAAGTATTTATATGATCTTTCGAAGTACTGGTTTCTGTTGTCGTTAACATACTTAACCTGTCATATCCCTCTATATATCCACCATTCTCTGTTCATGTACCTTGCTGGTCTTTCGTCGTCGTGTCCTTGCCTTAATCTCATTGGAATGATGTTGGCCACATGAATTCTCTTTTTCTAATCACATTTTAACATTATTTAGTTCTAATTCTTGATATTTCTGGCGGGAGGCTTTCTTTTTCTAGCTAGTTTGTTGTTGTTCTTCATATGACCTTTCTTATTAGTTTCAAATATGAAACTGGACATCAGCCTGAATGCCCTGAATTGCTGTCATTGCCCAATAAGGATATGTGTCCTTAAACTACTGGTTTATGTTGTCATTAACATGCTTAACCTGTCCTATCCCTATATATAATTAGTTCATGTGACCTTGTTGGTCTTTCATGTTTAGGTCTCATACCTATGAGATTAATCTATTCAATGGTGTTTTTTTTCCATCCGGATTGACAATTAGTACTAATTTATTTCGATTATCATTTCAATGGTGGTCCATATCCATCACCTGATCACCTTATTTGTTTATATATCAATATTGCATATGTTATTGATAATCACACATTTTCATTCAATCAACCCAATTGGTGGCTTGGTTGAAGTTTTGATCAACTTTGACTGTATTATGGAAAGTTTTTCCTTTTTCCCCTTCTCTTGTTCCACTCAATATCTAAAAGGGGAGATCGGTGTCATTATGCAGGTCTCGGGAGAGGTCACTGTATCTATCCTCCCCCATTACCACACTTGTTATAAATTCTTGAAAAGGTCAGATTGCTGACCTTTACATAATGTATTTGTTTAAAACAATAGAGTTAGGTATTGTGTAATAATTTAATGAAGTTGTTCTTCGTTTGAAAAGTACATGGGATTCTGATTCTCATGTTTTATCGTTTTACAATCTTCATCTATGTTAAATGATTAGTCAAAAAGTACTTGAACTTCATTCACTGAATATATTTCTTTGTTGTAGGGAAAGCTCCAATGTCCCACCAAAAGGAATCCAAATTTGAGCTTGCAAAGCAGGCCTTGTTGTTCCCTGGGAGTCTCAGTTCATTCCAATTTTGATCTTTCACCCTCGGATTTAACAATTTCCGAAGAACCTTTCCATATGCATGGTGTTACTAAGATTCTCGGGGTTGACATATCAGAGACATCGCATGTTGCGTTAGACTACATGCAAAGATTGGTGCTGTTAGATTTAGACCCTGCCACAGCAAAGTTGGTGGCTGGGTTTCTGGGGCCTTTCCTCTCGGCATTTGGTTTTCTGTTCATTGTGAGAATAGTGATGTCCTGGTACCCAAAAATCCCCGTTGGAAAGTTTCCGTATGTTATAGCATATGCCCCTACAGAACCGCTTCTCAACCCTACCCGTAAGTTAATTCCGCCCCTTGGTGGAGTAGATGTCACTCCTGTAGTTTGGTTCGGATTGATCAGTTTTATCAGTGAAATATTAGTCGGCCGACAAGGACTGCTTGTCTTGCTATCTCAACAGGTTTAGCTGTTATGCTGTGAGGGATACACTTGAATGTTGAGGAAAAAAGTTAATTTTCTTTAGGAATATATGTTGCCATGCTGAGAAGCAAATTGTTTTCTCCTTTTCCTGGTTTGCCTTCATTATTTATCAGCTCCTTAGTGATTTTAAGTTGTAAATGACTTTAATTTTTCATATACTAATTCTCTGCGTTATGTTTCGGTCCCTCTGATTAGCTTCATAATATTGTAGATGCCCTTGTTTTAATGCAAACAGCTACAGTTAGTTAAAAACAAGCAGGACCAAGTCGAGTGCCAACTGACCATCTTATTTTTCATTTTTTATTTTTCTGAGTTGATGCTCAAGGAATTGTTTGCACCCAAGAGGAGTCGAAACTTATTAGCACCAGCAATTCCACAGTTAAAACCAACTGTCTTATTGCGCTGCTACTGTCTTATTGCGCTGCTTGTTGGTAACATCCTTATGGAATTGCAGAGCTTGCAGGCTTCACATAACCTCAATTACAGGAGCTTGGTTGGTTCTTTTGATCAATCGCATACAGGTTTGATATGGAACTAACTGTGAGCAAACAAAGTCGGATACAATTGAGGGCTTTCAGGAGATGTCTAGGGTACTTTGTTATCTTTTTCTTCTTTTTGTTTTTCCTTGTGCTCTCATTTAGCGTTGCAAGGCTTAATCTTTTGGCCATGTGCATGACTGCAGGAGCATCTTATTTAGGTCAAATGTCCACATTACTTGGAAAATTAGTTTTTTTTGTTGTTGTTGTTGTAAATGCAAGAAAATAAACCCAACGATAATGGAGAGAAAAATAGGATCTCAAATGTTATTGACTCTCTCTCTATCTGGTTTCGATGTTCGACTCGGTCGGACTACCACCTGTAATGGATACTATAGTATATAATGGGAAAATGGCCATATATTTTTTAGGACAAATTACAATGGCCTCTCCTAAAGTTTGGCCTAATTGCAATTAAACTTGATATTTGTTTTTTTTTTTTTTACAAAGACTCCCAATGTAAGATTTTGTTATGAATTTACTACCCTACCCTCATTATTATATTACTAAAAATAATCAAAATATCTAAAAATAACAAATGACTTTTTTTGCCCACAAGCACTTACCCAATATTCCTCTTTCCTCTCCTTCAATCGCCGCTAGTTTTCACGTTACTGAATTTTTTGGGCTCTTCACCGAATTTATTATTGTTGAAGCTTCAGGCTCTCGGTTTGTGTCTTCATGTTGCTGGAATTCTCGTTGAGGAAGTGCTTGGAGGTTCGGGGGTTGTGGAAGCGGCAGACGACGGACTAGACGGCGGAAATTGGGCGACGATGGTCTGGACGACGGCGAAGCAGCACTAGTTGGGTCCGATTGCGTGGGTGTGGTCGCGTGACTGGTCAAGGACGGTGATGGAGAGAGGGACGCGCCATCTGTTTCGAGACTCAAATTGGGTGTAGTCGTGTGAGATGTTGTTAGGGACGGTGATGGAGAGGGGGGCACGACGCGGATTTCCTTGAGAGTAATGGTTCCGTTGGCGCCTGCGCGTGGTTGTGATGGTGTTGGTGCTGTTGCCCAGGTCGTATATGCAAACCCATGAAGAAAAAGTCTTGATTTGGGGCTTTTCTTCGCTGGAACAGGAACAGGAATTAGAGAGAAATAAAGATGGATGGGTGGGCGGGTGGTGGTTCACCGGAAAAATCAAGCTAAAACTGCAAGATTGATCAATCAAACCTCAAATCCATCCATATTGATTGATATGTACAAAATCAATATTTGTTCTCAAAATTAATCAAAATCAAACCCTAAAATTAATGCAATATATTATTACATTGATACAATATTGAATATAAATGTATGTACATATATGTCAGCTAATGAGAAAAAGTTACGTAGGAAAGAAGACTAGTTTGCTGTTTGTAGGCTTGTTGACAGTTTGACTATTTGAGAGGTAGTCTCGTGAGCATGTCATTACACGAAGATACGCTATTATGTTTTTTCTGGGGTTTGGTTTTGTATTGACATTTTGTGGATTGTATTGTGAAGGAATGGCTACCAGGGAGATATAGGGTATCTGATTGTGGGTTTAGTTTCTCTGTGGGTTTGTTTGGCAGCGATGGCGGCTACCGGTGGAGTGGTGGTTGCTCTTGCTTTTAAGCATGACTTTTTTTTTGTTATTCCATATATTATAAGGGCAATATAGTCTTTTACACTTAGTTGATGGGCATTTTAGTCACTTCAACCAAATTTTTTGACAATGAACTTTGTACGGAGGGGAGGTGTTTGCAAAAAATTGCAAACCTTGGGGGGACACGTTGTAGAAAAATGGCAACATTCAGGTTTAGTTGTAATTAGGTCAAACCTTAGGGGAAGTCATTGCAGTTTGCCCTTTTTTTTAAGTTCCGCTAGTTTATCTTATACATAAATCTACATGCGGTACAGAGTACTATTTATGCTCGCAAAGCAGAGTGCGCGGGCATATAATCAAAATCCTCTCCAGTGCTGTAATCTTCTTGTCCGAGCCGGTGAACATTGATTGCCTCTTGTTGAGCCATGTCGCTGCCCAAATAAGTTAGAAAAAAATTCACCGCATTAAGTTACTTATTATACAAATACATAAATAAATATATATTGTTGCAAACTGATATATGTATTCCCCTTACTAGCATCCCAACAATTTCCTAACGTGTATCCCAACATTTTTTTAACATATATCCCAACATTTTCTTAACGTACATCCCAAATATCCTCACCGACTGGAACGGATCTACTATCCCAACATTTTCGTAATGTACATCCCAATATTTTTTTAACGTATATTCTAAGGTATCTCAAATGTATTCATGTCATAAGTTGCATCTTTCTCTAGACACTAGTGTCAATAAACTTGTGTTGTGTATGTCATAAAGCTTGGAAGCGCTTTGGTTTTGCTTTAGACCGATGAGTATACTTTGTAATCATTCTTCTTTAAAGTTTGTGTAAATAGAGATTGTAGAAAGAGAAAAAAAAAACATAAAGTCAAAAGTTGGTCTGGTTTTGATTGAAAAATAGTAGACTGAAATTTGTCTGGAATTTTAAAGGCGGTCCTGTATTTATGTGTGTATGTATATACAAAAGTTTTACTTTTTTAATTTTTAACCTTTACCATTTTAACTCACTGGATGGCACTAGTTCTTCTGTATCACAGGGGAGGATTTTGTTCCGCGGGCATAACCCATGCATGCTGTTAGACATACACGAGCATAGTCAATGCACACACCAACAACAAACGAAGGCATGGCTATAAGCACACCACAGAGTGCGTGGGCATGATTATGTGCACACAATATAAGGGGCATGTGTTACAGAGGTCTGTATGTAGTCACCTCGAACATATTGTGAGTCGCACTATACGGAATTGGTTGTAAAATTTTATTTTAAAAATATTTAGGGCATGTTAGGTACGCTTTTTGTTTTGCACGTTTTGTTTTAACTTAAAACAAAATAATTGTTTCGAATAATAATCGGAAATATGTTTGGTAAAGTCCATTTATTGCAAGATTTTTGGAAGCAAGAATATAAAAACATGTTTGGCAAAAAAAATATTGCTAAGTTTAAAAAATATTATGGTTAGTTTTAAAATGCTATTTAAGACTTTTTGTTTTAAAAAAATTATTGTTCATCGTTACAATACCAAACGCTACAGTGCGGAAACATATAAAAATACTAAATAAGTGTTTCAATTTTTGGCCACTATTCACAAAACATTTCGGCACTGTGCAAAACAAAACAGTTTTTACAAAACACGTTTTTCCCACTGTTCACTACTATAATACCCGACAAAAACAAAAACACCAAAAACAAAACCCATACCAAACAAGCCCTTAATGGGGTGAAAAGTGTAGCTTAATTATCTTCTTCCCAAATTTTTACTTATTTAAAATTTATCGAAATAAAAAATAATCATCACCCACAAAGCAAAAATTAAATATAAGTAATGAAAAGTGTGAGTAAGAGATGACACGAGGTTTTTGTGTGTGGAAATCCTTGTTGAAAGAAATTCGATCAACCAGGATGAAAACCATGACTTTGGCCTGCATTTGAAAGAGGTAATGGTAAGTGTTGAAATATGCACATTTCAACCCATATCCTTGCATAAGTTAGCACCTTAATCTATCTTTGCTTTCCCGTTTTAGTCTTAATTTGTTTTATTTCTCATTTTCAGGTACTTATCGCCAAACAGGTTTAACTCCAGTGCTTTAAGTGATCAAAGATGCTTAGCTTTGGAGGGAGTTGAAGAAAAGTTGAAGAACCAGCTTTCTATGAAACCCAATCGATTAGATCGATGTTTGGATTCCGATCAATCGGACACTTAATCTGATCGATTGAGTGCATGTTAGATAGTTGCGACTTCAGATTTAAAGCCTTCTTCAAGGTTACTCGTGGTGCACTTAGCCAAGGGTCCTTATGTACGGGTTTTGACCTCTTTTGTAGCCCAAGGGTCATCTATAAAAGACAATTACAAAACATTTTTTAGAAGGTGGATTTTGGTTAGCTCTTGGGGTCTCACTCTACTTTCTCTCTCTAGGGTTGCTCTCAAGGATTGGAGAAAAAGGTGTTGCTAAGCTTAGAGATGGAGTTTGAAGCTTTAAAGACGACATCAATCCTCTCTATGGCTGGCTAGTGATGTGTGTTTTATTTTACCAATAATAAATTACCACTCGCAATAGAATGAATCATTGCAGGATAGGACTATATTGAGGGTGTCGAACCTCAAGGACTATGGTGGTTTATCGAGTTTTCAATTAATTGCTATTTTAATTTAGAAGGAAGATTTGATTCATTTTGTTGTGATGCAATAACATGAACAGAAAATAAACAAAGTAAGAGAATTAAAATCAAAAGAAGAAATACTTAGGGATTAACTTCACCACGAATCTCATACTATGGTCAATTGTCATTTCGATGTTATATATCATATGGAATTAAACTCAATAATTCTTTTAATTTAGATTTAAAAAAAGATGTTTCATAAATTTCAGTTAATAATAACCAATATTCGGTTGGCACAAATTATCTACCTACCTACTTCTAACTAATGTTTTAGTATAACTCGTCTTCCCTAGGCATAGATTATGAAAATATTCATTCACAAATACGTTTGAACACCATTGCATGATCTCTATTCTTACTATCGAGAAGCCCTTATGCTGACATCTCGTACATTAAGAATAGGTTAAAAATAATGTAAGAACAATTAAATCTAAGATAAGGTATTAATCATTCAAAAATCATTATTTTATTAAAACACCAATTGATCTAAATCAATTGCTCATAATCATGCAATCGAGATACATAAATAATTAAATTTCCAAAGTTAGAACAATCAAACCATAATACTCGGATTCGGGTTACGTTAATGCCCTAAAATGGAGTTTAGTTACTCATGGAGAGGAAAGATGTCTTCATTGATGTTGTAAAAGCCATCTCTATTGACCACCAAAAACTCCTTTAGATCTTCTTTTTTCAAAACCCTAAAAGCCGCCACTAAAACAAGAGAGAAAAACTAAACTAAAAACATACAGTTTTTATGTGGCCTTGTGCCTCTTTTTATAGAAGAACTGACTTCTAATAAAGCTTGGATGGGCTTTAGGTTTTCTGGGGTTATCTGGGCCCATCTAGGATGAATTATGACATAATCAGAATAAATCTCGCAGCTTTAAATTCTGACTTAACAGTGATGGCTTGAGCCGAGAAGCTTCGGCTCGAGCTATCTGGCATCGGCTCAAGCCATATTTTTCGAAGTGTCTTTTTCATCAACACTTAGAATATTTTTGGGATTCTTCTTCATAGTGCTCGATCACCTTGGCTTGGTGCTCGAGCCCTGGAACTTCGACTCGAGCTATTTGGGACTCTGGCTCGAGCTATTTCTATCAGCAACTTGTTATGAAGTTGTAACACAATTTTGATGTATTTAGAGGATGAATCTCGAAATTGATATTAGAGACAAAAATATCGGTCTTCAAGTCTTATTTCTACAGCCACTAAGTTTGCCTAATTTGGAGTTTCGAGTGAAAAGTTATGCCAAAAATACTGAAGTAGGTCCTGAATTTTCATCACTGCTCAAGCTCTAAAGAGTTGTGCTCGAGTTTTTTGAGTTATACTCGAGCCTTTTGACTTGTGCTAGAGCTCTGGGAGCAAATTTGTCCGAAATCACTATTTTGACTCCAAGCTTGCTTCAGATGATCTGTAACGAGTCTGTAAGCTTTGATATCAGTCTTTTCATCATAAAATCACGGTTTCAACCGTTTCTTTGGGAAAAGACCTACAAACACAAAATAAACATAAATCAGTCTAAAACATTATAGAAGTACTACTTAAGGTCTTAACATACTTATATTTAGGGGCTCGAATATGTAATATTCAGTGCTCATCAGCTAGCCTCTTTCTTTGGACATGGAAGAAGCCCTAAGCTCAATTATTCATATCAATTGTGTCCAATTTAGGGGAAATTCTATGCGTATATGAATTATGTAATATTGTGTATTCAATTTGGTTGTACGAAACATAATAATGCTTAAATTCTTCAATTAATCTTAATTTAATCTCTATGTTGTCTTATGTTTAGATTATTGATTATTAATCTCTACATCACTTACTCTTTGTAATTGTGGTTGATGATGGCCATGCAATAGTTTTAATTGAATACAATTGTATTTAGCTTGATGATTCATGCTTGATCTTGATAGATTTTACTACACCTTTAGTTTAATTGTAGTTAGGTAGACAGTTCATGCTTGATTTTGATGGTTCATGCTTGTTAGTGATAATTATAGTATTTTTTTGCCTTTATACACACTTGTTTCCCCAAAATACGAATGCAATTGCTGTGATTACAAGGGATTAGAGGTGAATTCCATGCCCTAACTCTCTTTCCCTCTTATCTTCCTTTAACTTGATTGTTAATATCCTCTTTAGTTGCATTTTTAGATAGTTTAATTTCAACATTAGTTATAAACAAACCAAACACTATCCTTTTGGTCATATGTTCGTTGATGTTAAATTTGATTCATGCCTATAGTCATCGTGTTCTATCCCTACTCACCTTGCTATTTATACATAAATTTAAGATTGTTTGCTTCCACACTATACCACATTGTTAATTATCTAAATTGAGTAAAGTAAGTGACAAATGAATGAGCACATCAATTTTTGGTGTTACTGTGGGGGACTACGGTTTAATTGAATCAATTTTAAGATTAGTGATCATTTGATTGTTAGCTTAGGACTTTTGTATATCATTTTCTTATTATTTGTTTGTGTGTGCAATTAGGTACTTGATCGAGAGATAAGCAAGCTTTGGGGTCATGGGATTTTGTTTTGTACCGTTGTGAGCGTATCTTGAGCTCTTGAACTTCTATTGTGCACTTTTTGTTTTGATTAGTGGATAGTCCTTGTTGAGACTATCATTGCTTTAATTTCTTGTTCAAGCATCAGTCCTTGGCGTGGCCATTTATTTTATCTTTTCAATAATGTTAAATTGAGGAGGACGGTATGTGGATGTTTTGGTAGTGAAGTTGTTGTTGTTGTGTTAATGTGCTTTATTGTGTTAATGCCTGGTAGAAGGTCTCTTCATAATCCTTTTATTCCCAGCGATCTTGAAATTAAATCCACTCCTAGGGATTTTGAAGATGTGAGAAGAAACCTCCTTTCTAACGCAACCACTCATTTGATAAAATGGCAAATAATGACATTCCTCAACCTCATCATGGACCTTATCCTCCACCTAGGGCTCTTAAATGCTTATAATTCTCCCATATGCTACCAATTGCCTAATGTTCAAGCCCATCATTGTGAGATTAAGCTCGAAATCATCCAAATGTTGCTTTTCTTTTCTTTTTTTTTTTTTTTTTTTGTGGCCACCCACATGAAGACCCTTATCGGCATTTGGATGGATTCTTAGAAATATGTTCCATCGTCAAAATCATCAATTTTCTAGAATAATCTCTTAAAATAAATCTCTTCCTATGCTCCCTAAAAAATAAGGCCAAATATTGGTTTAATACTCTTGGGGCAAATACCATCACTTCTTGGGCTCACATGCAACAAGAGTTCCTTAAGAAGTACTACCCCGCGAGCAAAACAAATCAAATTAGGAAAGCAATAATGGCATTTTCTCAAAATGATGGTGAACCATTCTATGAGGTGTGGGAGAGACTAAATGATTTGCTTTGGAAATGCCCTCACCATGAATTTCCTAAATGGCAACTTGTACAATGTTTCTATGAAAGCTTATCCGATTATCATCGACAAATGGTGGATGCCTTATGTGGGAGCACATTCATGCTCAAAAATAAAGATGAAGTATGGATTTTAATCGAAAACTTAAGTGAGATTTCCATGCACCGTGCTTCATCTACTAGCTCGGGTAAGATATTAATGTTAGGTGGGAAGACAGTTGATAATCTCCTTAACATTGATAATTCCTTAGAGGTCACCGCTCAAGTCAAAACCGTCACTCAAAGGTTTGATCAATTCTTACTAGGACATCCTTCGGCACCTCAAATGCTTTCATCTTCTTTTATTCCAAGTGAAATTTGCACGATTTGCTCCAATCATTATCATGTTACTTGGGATTGTCCCATGAGACAACAATTTCTCTATGATTCTCAAGAGCAAGTCAATACTACTTTTTCTCGCCCTAGGAATGATCCTTATTCTAATATCTACAATCCTGGGTGGAGAGATCATCCAATTTTTTTCATAGAGAAATCAAGGTTCAAGTTCTAATACTTCTCAAGGAAAATATGTGCCTCCTTATCAAGTTTTTAATCAAAATCCTCATCCTCAATCATATCATCCACCTCAATATTTTCATCCAAATGCCAATCATTCTTTAAGTTCATATCATCAAGCATCTCCTGCTTTCAATTCACATTCTCATCCATCTTAAGCACCTCTAAAGAATCCTGTTTTTTAGGACAAGGTGTTGGTCGTTTTGGGCAATCTTGTGGCGAAAACACAATTGCTTCATTCCATTCGTAACCTATTTTGAAGCTTGAGTCCCAAATCAGGCAGCTCACTAATGCACTTAGTGCAAAGGTAAAGGGAAAACTTCCAAGTCAACCCGAGGTCAATCTAAAGGCTCACTATATGGTGGAAGGACATCCCTCATTGGGACCTTCCCACCACAAACAATTGCAAGCCATCACTACTTTAAGAAATGGGCGAATTGTCGACAATAAGGTTCGAGAACCACTAAGTGAAGAGAATGACCCAAAATTTGAGTATCCTTTGCTAATGCCGAAATCCATTCCTAGTTCACTCCAAGAGAGTGAGTATGACAAGAAAGAAAATCCATCATCATCTTCTTCCCCTTCATTAGAGAACCCATATAAGCCTAGGACTCCATTTCCTCAAGCTTTAAAAGACTCGTCCCTTTTCAGAAGACAACAAAAGAAAATCAATGACATAATGGAAGTGTTTAAACAAGTCAAAATCAATCTTCCTCTTCTTAATGTTATTAGGAAAATTCCTCCTTATGCTAAGTTCTTGAAGGACTTGTGTGCTAAAAAACGGAAATCTAAGAATGATGTGCTTAAGAAAGTTGTTTTCAATCTTCCTCTTCTTAATGTTATTAGGAAAATTCCTCCTTATGCTAAGTTCTTGAAGGACTTGTGTGCTAAAAAACGGAAATCTAAGAGTGACGTGCTTAAGAAAGTTGTTTTCATCGAGCAAGTAAGCTCCATCATTCAATATAACACTCCTCCCAAGTTCAAAGATCTTGGTGCCCCTACCATTTCTTGCATCATTGGGGATTATGAAATTTAAAAAGCTCTTTTGGACTTAGCAGCGAGTGTCAATATTCTACGTTACTTGGTGTATCTTCAATTGGGGTTGGGTGAATTGAAACACATGTCGGTTGTCTTACAACTCACTGATACGTCCATTAAGAAAGCGCGTGGGATCATTTAAGATATTCTTATCAAAGTGGATAGACTTTACTTCCCGGTAGACTTTGTAGTGCTTGATACAGAACCGATCCACAACACTTAAAGTCATATACCTGTCATTCTAGGCCGTCCCTTTCTATCTACTGTTAATGCAAACATCAATAGTAGGACGGGGGTTATGAAGATCTCTTTTGGGTATATGAAAGTCAAATTAAATATCTTCAATACCACTCCCCATTCCCTGATAAAGATGAGCATTTCCTTGTGAATGATGTTAATGAAGTGGTTGAGGACGCACACCCCATTTTTCCAACAAAAGAGCCTCCTCCTTTGAACTCAAGCATGCCTCATTCTCTTTCTCCTGAGTCTACTCATAAATTTAAGCTTAAGCCATCAGATAAGCTTAAGTGTGCTTTCATGGGTGCCGATGGAACTCTACCAGTTCCCATTACTTCAAATCTAATAAATACCCAAAGAAGTAGTCCATTGAGTGGACCTCAAGGGCACATAGAAGCAATGGTGAGGAGGGAGGTAATCTAGTTGTTGGATCCAAGCTAGAGAGTTTCATTTTCATCAACTAGGGACGTTAAACCTAGCACCCATAGAGTTTCCAAACTCTATTTTTCATTTTTGTTTTTTTTGTTTTTTTTTTTTTTTTTTTTTTCATTTATGTTACTAGATTTAGGGTTTGATTTTCTTTCTTTTTTTTCAAAAATACCAAAAATATTGTAGTTTCGAGTCAAGGTTGCCACTCATGGCTTAAGGGTCACTTCTGAGAAAACTCGATCGATCAAGTTTTAATTCGATTGATTGGATTTTCCAGCACTTAGAAAAAAATTTCAGAGCCCAAAAATCACCTATCGGCCTAATCTATCGAGTTACTACTAGATCAATCAGAATTCCCAACAGTTAGAAAAATTTATGAAATCTCCCAAAAATAGCTTGCGGGCTGATCGATTAAGTTTCAATCAGATCGATGGGTTTTGTAAAAAAATAAAATACAAAATCAACAGGTTTAAACTATTTTGCCTTTGTGAGCAGTCATGCATTATCTTTCATGCTTTATCTTGGGTTTGTTCTCATCTCTCTCTTCTATCTGATTCTATATTGCTTTAGAGTGCACTATTACTTATCCCTTTCCCTATTGTTATTGCTGAGAGCACCCTAGTGTGATCATTTTAGGTACGTTTTGTGTAATGTCCCGAATTTTTCTGAATTTTTTTGAGTTTTTATTGTATTTACTTTTTGTGCCTCGTTTTGCATGTCACACAGACCAGAGGGCCGTCTAGGCCATTTTCTTGAACCAAAGGTTTTAGAAGTGCATTATATTTATTTTAAGCCAATTAGAGGAGACAAGATTAATTTTAGAATTTTTTAAAAGTTGAGACGATTTTCGGGCTTGGGAACCTCTCCCAGTTTTGCCAATTTCATTGAGGGGTATTGTGGACATTTCACACACATATACATTTATGTGTATCTATATATTAGAGGAGATATTTATGGGATGTAGATGGTACTGCAAAGGAAGAGGAAGGGCATTTAAGTAACTTGGCCATAAGTTAGAAATCATCCATTTGTTGACATTTAGCTCAAGGAGAGCCATTCATGCAAAGAAAGACCAAACCAACTTTTTTCTCCTTTTCATTTATCGGCATTTTCCTTTCTTCCTCTAACTCTTATCTTTCTCTTTCTATATCTACACATATACACATATACATGATGTTTTAAACTTAGATTTGAAAGGTTTGGAGTGGGAATTTGAAGATGATCAAAAAAGAGTTGTTGCAGAGCTCGAAGAGGGCTTTGATTTGGCACCAATATTGCATAGGTTGGGAGGATTTTGAATTTGGCCTTGGCCTTAGGGCCTATTTGGCTAGAAGAAATTGAGGTAGGGGTTTTCTAAGCCTTCAAACTTTGTCTTTCTTTGAGAACTAATTCTTATTCTTCTATTAATTTCAAGTTGAATGCTTTGTCTATGAAATTGTTGCTAAATGGATGCAAATGATGTGTTTAAGTGTTCAAAATATGCTATGTGGAAAGAATGTGCAATTCTATGTTGAAATTAAATGTTAGTGTGATGGTACTATGATGGCTTAATTGAATAGCATGCTTAACACTAAATAAAGGAGAAATGCCATATTTGTTTTCATTTGAGGAAGGAATTCCATGCTTATATTTGTTTTTTACAAAAAGCCTTGCTTGTAGTTATATTATAAAAAATTTCATGCTTTTGTTCAACTTATAGAAAATGTCATGCTTGTACTTGGTTCATAGAAACTGCTATGCTTATGTCATTGTTATTATGGAAATGAAATTGAAGTTAAATTGATGAGATTGGTACCTGTGCATGACAAGGTGGGAAAGGAAGAATGAGAAAAGGGTTTTGAAATGATCTTATAAAAAGGAATTGGATTTCGCGAGTCCGGTATTAACTTGATCTAGAGGGAACGCGTGCCAGTTTAGGACGTGTAAAGTTGATTACTAGGCCCCATATGGTCGTCGGTTTAGAGGCCAGGGATAGCTAATCAATCTCGCCTCGGTAAAGTCGGTTAGTGGTTTTCAAAATATGAGTTTAGGGTCGGTAGAGACCAAGTTTAGGGTCAGTAAAATCCAAGTTTGGAGTCGGCTGAGACTAAGGTTGGGAAATTATAGGGCATTGTATTACATTTTGTAATACCCCTAATTTTAAAAAGGATAGTACTGGTATTTTGGTTAATATTTAATTGCATTTTTAATAATTTAAAATTGTTTATTTTGCTTGTGTATTTGAATATATGAATTTATTTGAAATTATTGGTTTATTTGCTTGTTATTTAGTTAATTGTATGTTAATTTATTTAATTGTTTAGTTAATTGTATTTTAGTTTATTTAATTGTTTAGTTAATTATATTTTAATGTATTTAATTGTTTAGTTAATTGTATTTTTGGTATTTTAATTCTTTTAAATGCTTAATTGGTTTAATTTAGGGTTTTGTTTTAGAAGTTAAGTCTTGGTAGCTGACGTAGATTTTAATGAGGATTCTCTATGGCCCGGTTAGGATTCATTGTAGGGTTTGGCTTGATTTTAGGTTCTGCATAAACCTATAAATATAAGTATTAAGTCTACTTAGGGTTTTAGAAAGAAAAAAAAAAACTATTCACGACAGTGGAGGCAGAGAGAGAACAAATGAGGTTTTCAGTAGGACGTTGCCGGAGAACGTAGGAAGACGACTGTGCAAGGCTAATGGCAAGTTCTATACCTAACTCTCTGCCATTTGCTCGTGTTCTTTACAGGTCTAATACAACTCCAGGAACATAAAAG